AATATGATACGATACAATGCGATGTGATATGATGCAATATGACAGGAAACAATGGGGTAAATTTGTCTTTGCATGTTTGTTGAGCTCAATAAACAGTTTTTCCGCTTATATCCTGTACACGTATGACCAGTAAATACTGTTCATAACAATAACAATCCAAAAAAAAAATTTGATTGATTGAAGTTATTTTGAACAAATGAAAAAGAAATAATAAAAAAGTAAAGAATACAATAACAAATGACAAAAAGTTATTCAAGTTCAAAAAGGAGTGGGAAGAAGTCGAGCTGTTCAACTACAGCTGTTTACTAGCTTAGCCAAGAAGTAGCATTTTTTCCTCTTATAAAAAATCATGTACCTCCAGATTTTGTGTTTTGTAACTTGTGAATGTTGCACAAACAGTTATTTTTCCTGTATGGATTAATAAATGCCCCTTGCTATCATTAGCTGTAGAGACACACAGTTCTAAAGAGACTTGTGTTGACTGTTTTATTGACTTTTCAAAAGCTTGGTACATGGTAAACACATACTTTCTTCCAGCACACGGGAACATGTGACATTTATGTATCATGGAGGCCGACTGCAGTGTGTGAGAACTTAAGTGAGTTGCAATCAATACAGAAGAATGACAGAAAAAATTGCAAAACTTTAAGTAACGCAAAGTTTTTTTCAAGATTTAGCTGAGAAACATTCCCTCAAGGTAAAGATCTATGAACTTCTAATCTTTACTCAACCTGAAGTTCTGGATGTGTATAGTTGTATTTACTGTAAAAGTTGCTTAAAATGTGTTGGTATCTTACCTAAAAGTAAACAGAGTCTGCCTGAAATGTAGGTGTATGAGTTAAATCAAAAAAAAAGAAAGCAGCAGATGAAAAGTGAAATTGTTTCCCCCTCTGTCAGGTAGTTTGTAAGCAGCGCATGGAAAACCCTTTGGCAGAGTGCAACTCTCCTGCTCATGGGTCATCGCAGCTTTAAGAGCCGCAGGAAAATAACCATCCCTGCCCTCCATCATCCTCTCATCCCGCTGACCTCCACGCACGGTATAGTATACTTACAGCACATGCAGAGAGAGAGAGAATGATTGCATATCTGAGAGAGGGGTGACACGCTCGGACACATCTTTGCTTTCTTATTAGTGGTCAGACACTTTGGTCCTTTTTTGTACGCGGCCCGTGATGAGACCCCTCTTCTTCTTTGTGCATCTGTGGAAAATGGCCGGGGGGAAATCACGGATGAGAATCACTCAAAGACAGGGAGATGTCAACAGGCACATAATGATAGCTGATGGCCCCAGAACACTCTCCCCTTCTCCCTCTCAGCCTTACCTGCCCAAGTTGCACTACACTAGAAAACATAATTAAGGGTAAAAGAGAGAGACAGAAGCTTATATCTGTGTTTTCTGTAAGCAATGCTCTTTGTTTTATACATCTGGGAGTCCTTTTTTTCTTCTCTCTTTCACTTCATGGTGAGAGGAAGAGGGGAGGAGGAGGAGGAGCGCTCCCTCTGTGAGATGCCAAGGTGCTCCCAGTCCATTGTGCTGCTGGCTGTCAGGTTAAATTAGGGAGTACAGGCTCCGTGAGTGTAAAAAAATCAATACTTGATGGAAGATTGCTCCCCGGAAAATCTGTTTTGATTCCAGGATTAATTCTTGACCAAAGGCTCCAGCAAAATGACATGCCATTAGCCTGAAAATGAACACATTCTGCGGTGGAAATTGGATGGAAATGTGTCAGGTGATTGCCCCGGCTGCTTGTTTTGACTCCTTTCTGAGCGAGGGGGGACTGAAGGTGTGGCTGCTGTGAATGAGGCCTTCAGGCCGACTCCATTTCCAGAAAAGGGACAGCTCCGCCGTGGCCTCAGAGCACCAGTCTCAGGGCCATTGTTGTCCAGCGGCTGCAAATGCATCCAACAAGGTGAAAGGCATTAAGGCTCATCGCTCGCTCGCTCTCTCTTGTGTTTTTTCATAAAGCATGGCATGAAGAATGAGAAGATCTGAAAATAAAACTGAAGATTTTTCTCCCCGATACCCCAGCGTGAGGGAAAAAAAGAGAGGCAGGATATTTTATTGATGAATGAATAATGTGTTTGTCACGACGGATAAAATTCTCTTTTTGAAAACTTCAACATGAGGCTGAAAAGATGAACTGGACGCTGATTCAGAGAGGCACCAAGCATTAAGGGTTTCATGAAGGACAAAAAAACAACATGTCTGCATATGCTCCTCAACATTTTTTTTGCACTATATGTATAATTTTTTTAATATCAATAATATAATTAATATTTTTAATGAAGGTTTTTCATATCAATCAGAAAGAAAGCACATTTCTGTGTTAGCATACATTTATTTGCATAAATTCATATAACTGGTTTTAATGATGTAAAGGAAAACAGCTGTTCTTTTATTATTGTCATATTTGTGTTTAATCCTGCTGTTTAGCAATTACTTAATAATATTAGACAAATAATTAATTCTTTTTTAAAAATGTGATTAAATTAGTCTAAATCTGAATTTAGAGTTTTTACTTTCACAACTTCTTTGTTTTGTACAAACTTTGGTCCGAACAGGAAACCAGCCCTGTTTGGAGTTCGGTGCTGTCGCCTTTTTTTACGGTGAGTTTCTTACATCTGATCTCATGGTTTTCACTCTGCACCAACAATACAGATATTTTTTTTTATCTAGTTTAAACTGTCTGAAGAATCGTGAATTTTTATTTAAACCTACATCTTTAAATCTGTAGCCCCATGGTTTATTAATTTTTTTCTGAACTGATTTAAATATTTTTTGTAGCTTTGTTGGATTGAAGAGTGAAAAAAACTACATAAACAGTCATTGTCCGGTTAATGAACACAGACTGAGACAAAATGGTCTGCAAACATGCATGAGCTGAAACGCCTGAGGAAACTTGAATCTATTCAGCTGCTGCTCAACCTACACTCAACTTTACAGTGAGATACTAGCACCCCCTGCAGGATTTAATTGGTGCTACCAACTGGTATGGACAGCTAATAAATACATGGCAGTGTGCGCCACAATTTCCGAACTTCAGACACAAAAACCCACACACTTGAATGACAGACACACCCAAACAACACAAGTTAGATATAACATGATAATGTCATACAGATTAACAGCATACTTCTTTATATATTTGGTTGGTGTAACCATGACAGTTTGGGTTCCTTAAACAAATTGTATCTTAAATCAAGTAGCTACACCAGAATCAGAATCAGAAATACTTAAATAATCCCCAGGGGGAAATTGCTTTTGTTACAGTAACTACAGTGCAAATACAGTGAAAGAGGAGGTAAAATAGATTAAATAAGTAAAAATATAGAGATAATATACAAGTATTTACACTATAAACAACACAAATAGTGACATCGTACGCATGTAAAAATCCCATTTGTGGACCTGATAGTGTTTACAGAAACCACCTAGTACATGTTCCAGTAATTGTGTGCAGCATAGTAGTCTAATAGTCTAATAATGGTTTTTACATCCAATGACGATTAGATGCAACCTTTTACTTATTTATTTCTGATCAATCACTTCGTATGATGGACAAAGTGACTATTTTGTGACTCATTTTCAGGGAGATAGTGATGATGATTGGCACAGATCATGTAAAATGTGCTTTTTAAAACTGTTTTCACGCTGCTCACTTGTGGTGCAGGTAGGGCTAAAATAGACAGACTTTTGTGACTCCAGTTAATAACGTTATTACCACACAGAATATAGATCTATGATGTTGCTACACATTGATGCACAAACTATTTAACTGGCGTACTCTGTTGTTGTCAGTAATCCTATGAAGCATAAGTTGTTTAATATCAAGTTCTAACATCTTCCTTAACAGCAAGTTATCACCATGACAACACGCCTCAAACTCACTGTGGTCAATTCAGCCGATCTGCATTCTTTCATAGTCAACTCAGCCAGAGCCGGTCCAAGGCATAAGCGAACTAAGCACCTGTTTAGGGCCCCGTGGCCAATAGGGGGCCCCCCCAAGAGCAATCAAAAAATAAAAAATGTAATATTTTTTATTTTTGCATGTATGAGTGGTGCTTTCTGCATGATCAAATATATATTATTGTAAAAAATAAAATAAAGTAAAAAAATTTTAGTGCTGCTGCTGATGTCGGCCTACGATTCTTTCTGCCTATATGTCAAAGCTCTGCTACCGTTATGTGCCTTCTGCTGTGCAATGTGCACTGAGCATCCAAAATGCAGGTAGTTGTGGGACAAAACAATGTCGCAAAAAGGACATATCCTTCAGGAGCAGAGAAAAGAAAGGAGAAGAAGAAAAAAAAACGCCATCCAGCCTCTGGAGCCGATCTGCAGTGGAGCCGGACGGATTCTGTGGAATCACTCACATTGACTATACGCTTGTGGATTTGATCCGCTGGCCATGCCGGAGCAGAGCGGAGCCGTTCCGGGCCTTGTGGGGTTTGCCTGTTAGGGAGCATAAACGAGAGAGCTGGCAGCAAGACTGTAAAGCCGCGTTCAGACCAAACGCGACCTGAGCAACGACTCCCAATGCAAAGTCTATGGACAGCCGCGACCTGACGCGACTTAGCGACCGCCGGCTGCCGGCGATGCAACATCAGCGACCTACGCGACCAGGTCGCGTCTGGTCTGAATGCGGCTTAAAACGGGCAGCGAGAGCAAAAATCTGGTCAGCGAAAAAGAAACATAGGAAACTGTAAACAAAAGAATATATGACAAAAAGTAAAAGACCAGTAGTTTACACAATTGCACAAACAATTTGTTTGCAAGTTACAAGTTTTACTTTTGAGCTGACTTTTTTTTTTTGCTTCAGTGAGTTGTATTCTCTCTCAAATTCTTATTTTTGTTTGATGTTGAAGAAGTTTTGTTTGATTATTTTTGACACAAATCTGACTCCATGCCGCTTAAGCTAACCGCGCTTATGCGCACTTGAATCTCAAAGCGGCTGATTCAACTGTGAGAAACTGGTCTGGTCGTCTGTCTCTTTAAGGCGCACAGTGATGACGTAAGCCAGACGTTACCTGCTGTTGTTAGCACGCATGGCTGCTGTTTGAGCTTCACAGTTTGTTGCTATCTGACAGTCTGTCCACATGTCAGAGGATGAGAAACTTCATTCCGTTAAATTGAGTTTTATTTTCAGCACATGATGGCCTGGGTTAAAGCGATTTCTTACAATGGAGAGGACGTGTTTGACGAGAGCGCGGATGACTTTAATCTGCTCAGTAAAGAGTGGGCATCCAACATGAAGAAGCGAGTGAGGGTAAAGCTAATGTAGCATTACCTTAACTAACCTGAAAACAACACACTGATCCGGCTTTACTCTGTTCATAACACTTTTTAGTTATCCATTTATGAAAGTTGTTCTTTTACAGATAAAATCTCTGTCTTCAGAGTTAAATTTGACCCGCACTCTTTCACCGGTGTTATGACAGGATGGGTATGTGGACGGAGTTGATGCCGGGGAGGAGGCGACTCTTCAGCTCGGTTTTAACCAGGGACACAGGGAAGGAGCAGCTCAGACTGCAGCTGTGGGCCGCCTTAGAGGAATAGTGAGGTAAACATCTATGTTTCTATGTAGATATCACTTTATTGGAGCTTTGCTAACTTAGGATGGACAGCAGGTCTTTGGCAGTAAATTCATACCTATATGAATACACATGGCGATCTCTGGAGCCCTCGTTCTACGGAGGACGATTAGGGCCACTGGAAAAAAAAGTACATTAACCTTAACTATTATTATTCTGAGAAAAAAGTCTGACTTCCGTACTGTTAATGAGGAGGCTGTAAAGTCTTCTGGTCTATTTGATTGTTACCTTGCATCTTCTGTAATCTTTTGGCGGTGATGACTTACCAAACGGCTTCACAAGTTCTTCTGACAATGTCTCCAGGTTGGTTTTTGTCACTTTCTGACCCAAGATTCATCCACACATCAAAATTTAAAAACTGTAGGAGCATCCTCAATGTCAAAATTAGCTCTCAAGTCTCCACTTAATGTCATGTTAATGTTATACCTTGTTTGAGCTGCAAAAACACAAAACAAACACAGTAATAGTTAGGGGTGGGAGAAAAAATGAAATCACATATGTATGGGTTTTTTGTGTTTTACATTTTTTAAATAGATTTTTGTGATCAAAATTCTAACCCCCAATCAGCCGGTCAGCCATGTTTAAAACTTTAAAAATTCAACTGTGATACAAAAAAAAATAAATGCCGCAATATCGCAGGACAGGAAAACTTCGACGATGTGAACCCTTGTATTGACAGGATACGGGTTCGAAAAAAAATATTGACCTCTGAAATAATAGATCCCGGTGTATAAGGACCTTAAATCTTAAAAACTGACTCACATGTGATGTGTATTTTTTGGGGAAATATGGCTCCTGGAAAAGTCAGTTGACAATCATAATCATTTAACTGTTTCATTGGTGTTAAAAATGCAGCCAAAAAATTAAGAAAATCATCAATATCGTAGAATCGCAATTTAAATCGAATCGGCATCCAAAAACTGTAGAAGAATCGAATCGGGAGAAAAGCATATCGTTGCAGCCTTAGTAATAGTGTGATCTGATCTTGATAATGTTGGTAGCCACAGCATGGTAAGCTTTTGTTCTTGTCACAGTGGCCAGTCTATTATTCTGTTTTCTAGATCCTCAGAGAAATATCCTGTTGTCTTAGGAAACCATTATTGTACACACTGAGATGATAAAATCAAGCATTTTATTTCGTCAAATAACTAAACATTTAGAAACAAACACTTATGTGGGAAGTGAAAATGTAATGTGTGGATTCAGGTCTACTTGCAGCTTCCATATAGAACCCTTTATTTAAAAATCCTTTGAGCACAGTTGAAATAAAACAACTGACTCTTTACTGCCAGTAAGTTGTGTGAATTTTGCTGCCACACAGTGGTCACTGCTAAATTTGTATTAAAAGTGTAGGAACGTGTGTCTGCCAAAGGCTGCGGTTTTGTTTAAGCAAATTAAAAAGGCCAAACATTTTAATGAAGTCAGCTTTGTGGCCTTTTAAGTCTGATATCAAATGTCTGTAATTAAGGTTTACATTGCAACTAAAAGGAAGGAGTAATAGACACTTTTCTGTCAACATACATTTATGATATTTTAAAATTCAAACGCAGCGGTTTAAAATAAAAGCAAATTAGACTTCCCTTTATTCCCTCCCAGCTTAGATAAGTCACATATCCACAGTGTTGTTTTCTGTCTCATTCCTGCACAGAAACATCCTGAGTCTCTATTGTTCTGCTCATTATGGAAGACTCTTTTCAGTCCCAGAGCCTTTGTATAATACGACACTGTGTCCTCTTTGTGTCCCTCTTCACAGCGCTATATGCTGCTGGTGCCAGATCCAGCATCCGGAAAGCCCTGTCCCAGTCTGTGTGACCAGCCTCCTGCAGCAGGTGACACAGCACGAAGACAGAATCATGGCAGGCATCAGGGACGCTTTGGAGAACCCTCCTCCCAGCGTGAGCGTCGTCTCTGAGAGCATGGAGGATCTGGAGGTGGAGCAGGCGGATTCAAAGTGCTGTGGAGGAGGAGGAGGGTGTAAAGACACAGGCTGCTGCAAGGAGGGTGAAAAAATTGACCTGGGTGCTCCCTTACCACAGAAAAAACCTTTTTCAGGGTCTACAGACTGCTCCTCAAGCTCAAGTGAAAGCCTGGACCTCCTCATGCAGCGCTGCATAGATGTTGTGTTAGAGCTCGGACTCCCACAGGAGCTGATCAGCTGCATCCAGGAGCTGTAGAATGTGTAGTGGCTGAAAGTCAGGGACCAGATTCACTTCTTGTGTCAACAACAGTCACAAGAGGTTTTGATGAAGATTTTGTACAAACTGAGACGAAGTATTTTTGTATTATATGATGAAGATTATTCGCTTTATGGTTTCAAATGCCTGACCTCATTTTTAGATGAAATAAAAGCCCCTCATTTATCATGTGCTTATACTGTAATCATTTTCTTATGGTTTATATACAGATTTAAATAACAGGACAGGGAGAAAGTCCTCCTTATCAGTCTAAACAGTACCAATACAGGTGCAGTATACCTAAGAGCAGAAGGTGATTTTTTTTTCACAACCATAAGACTTAACAAAATGCAAAAATGTTTTCCCTTTTTTGCATTTTGTTAAACATTCAGATATGTGTTATTGTTTCATGAAATATTTTCCATTTTCAAATGTGATTCAACTCTGATAAAGGCTCTCTTCTCCACATTTTGGACATGTCCCAGCCTTAAGAACAGCCTTTGAACCTGATCCTCTGGTGTGTTTGGTACTGTGGGAGAGGAGAAAAACCTTATTTTCACTCCGATCCCTGGTGTTTGCCTCCCTCCTGGCCAGACGTGCAGTTCTCACCCACTCTCAGTCAGTGGCTGAAAGACCTCACGTCTTGTTTAGACCTTGAGAAGATTCGTTACTTGGTCGCAGGTGATGACAAAAAATTCCAAAAGGTTTGGGGACCTTTTCTGAGCCACATTCAGAAACTCTTATCATTTTGAATCAGCACTCTCTTCTTCTAGTAGTTTTCTTTTTGAACTGTATATCTGTGATGTTTTATGATCATACAGTTTAAATTCTTATCTCTTTTATGGACTTTTTCAGTTTTCAGCAACTTGTCTACATATGTATTTCTCTTAACGTATAGTAGTTTATTCAACTTATTTTCTTTTTACTTTTCATTTTTATTGTTTTATTTATTTCAAGATCTACCAAACAGGAATTCCAGCACTTGCGGCTCTGACCTCCTGGACTGATACACAGCTGAACGGTTCAGGACTCTTTTTTGATTTAAAAGTCAAAATACAGACGGATTAACGTGACGTGCGGGTTTTTCCGAGCAGCCCCTGAACGCAGCACGACTGTCGGCGCACACGACTATGACGTCATGCGCTCGGACCGAGCCGTGACCTGCTGCTCTGGCTATGCTAGGGGCTCGTGCCAACAGATGTTCCGCAGAAAATACAGTAAATACGCATTTTTGTCAAACGTGTTTTATTAAACCTTTCAGGGGTTAGTGATGTTTAGAAGGTAACGGATATGACAGCAGGGACTGTGATAAACGACGACAAGGTTTTATTAGCGCGTGTTTATCATTGAAGTTTACCTGAGCTAGCTTACGAGCTAACTGGAGCCTGTTTCTTTACTGTTAAAGTGAAACAGAAACCAGAGCTTTTAAGGTTTAATGTTTGCACAGTCTGTCGTTGATTAAACTCTATCAGGGTTGGGCATTTTTTACATTAATACTGCTGTTATTGTTCGTTTTTGCGTGCATTGATTGTTACTTTACCAATACTGTACTAATAAGATGTAACGATGATCCGTGATTTAGATAACTATAAGAAAGTAGTAGGAGTCAAATACTAAAGCCGTGAACAATATTATGACCATATTATACATGAATACTGAAGCATAACATTATTAACCAATCAGAATATAGAATTAAGTGAAAACTGTGCAGCAATGTGATCAAATTTAGTCGTGTTTTGACATTTCTGTAACTCCTTGTAGGGGAGACTAGGGTAAGTTGAGCCGAAGGGTAAGTTGACTCACCCCCTATTGCTTGGAAATGGTAAAAGAAATTGATCATGTGACCAAATATTTAGGAGATGGGCATCAATTCATGGAGCCTGTGAAGGTTTGAAGCATATGGGTGAAGGGGTTAGACATTTATTTACAAACAAAAACATTTTTCACTCTTGCAAGTAAATTTAGTCTGTCATAAGCTTTATCAGAATTGTGTTCAGACCAAAAAAGATCATTTTAAATTTGTTTTATACATCAATTGTGGTATCTATGAGCTACAACACGAGGTCAAAATCTAACATAAAATTCCACCATTTTAGCTTAGAGGACTAATAAAGTTATAATAGTAGTTCTGGCTCAACTGAGAAAGTAAAGAAGTCTGATGAGAGGATCAGAGTTTCAGTTCAGATTGTTAAAATGTTTTACTTTTTCTTTTCAAAAATACAGCTGTGAATGTTCTGAATCACTTAAATACATTCTCATGTTAAAATGACTTTTTACAAAACAGCTTTTTTAGCAGTTATTTGCAATAATAATAAAAAAAAATATTGTACCAAATGAATAGTGAATAATAGATAAAAATACAGATGAATGTGAATAAGTGACTGTTATTTAGGGAGAGAGATGGTGAGGGAGGGCTGAGGTAGAGAGTTAGAGGGGTTAGTAGGGATATGGCTCAACTTACCCCGCTCCTATGGTCAACTTACCTCATACACAGGGTAAATTGACCATAGGAGACCACTTTTTTTGGCATGCTATATTATCAAGACAGTTTTGTTTACACTCATTCTGTTGGTTTGCAGGGATGCACAACATCTTGAAATATATGCAGATACACTAGTTAGAGAAAATACTAAGGCTGTGTCCGAAATGAATCACTAAATCCCTAACCCCTAACCCCCATATGGGGTTTCACTACATAGCTGACTATGTAGTGAACTCAATCACCGGAGGTTTCGGACACTACATGGCATGACGCAATGCGTGACGGGATAGTCACTACATTTTACAATGCTTTATGGGAAATTTTGAGTCGCCTATATTGGGCACTGGAATTGATTACTGAGGGTTTGGACACCCCTCAAAATGGCGCTAACCCCCATGTAGTCACCTATATAGGGGTTAGGGATCCATTTCGGACACAAACTATGATTGACTTGATGTAGTGATCCATAATCTGAAAAATGGCTCATTTTACCCCACTCTCCCCTACATCAAACAAAGTTTTACAGCCTTAGTCACTCATCTTGCATCATTTTGGGTTGTACCTCTATATTCAGAGATCCGTCTCGTTGCAGAAGTTGGACCCTCCTCATCATGGACCCCTGAAATCTTCAGTCACAGGGGGACTCATCAGGTCGCTTTGACTCGGTGGCTTGCTGTGGACCAGAGGTCAGCGTTCAGTCGACGGCCTATCTGACCTCCCGAGCAGAGGGAGCGAGCAGATGGGGAACTGTTGCTGTCAAGCTGAGAGTCCCTGTGGCAGCGCGGAGGAGAGAAGTGTTTTGCTGAAAAATGACTCAAAGACCACAGTGACCTCAGGCGAAACCACGGTGGGGGGAACTTGTGGTCCAGGAGGTGATGATGACATAAGGTAAGTGACACAACAATGAACTGTTGAGACTGTTAAACTGTTGGATAACTGAGAATGGTTGGTTTGTAGTAGTAATAGTATGAGCAGAAATAAAATCTGGTAGTAGGAAGGTGCTCAGACATCAAAACTTTTAATCCTCTGTGTTAAATGTTACCTGTCATCCAGCATCTTGTCAGTCAGGGGATTTTCGATTATGGCATTTCTTACCCTCTCTTCTGTGTTTTGTCACCCAGGAAACCACTCAGTGAGGACAAACTGAAGGTGGAGATAAAGGCCGAGGCTGTGCTGGTGAAGCAGAGTGCTGAGGTTGCAGAAAAGGAGCTCAATAACGCTCAGGAGAACGGGCCCTTGCAGAAGGAAGCAACACAAACAACAGCGTCCTCTCCCGGGAGAGGATCTGAACTCCATGAAAACTCCTCCAGAGCACAAGATGAAGATGAGGACAAGAAGGAGTGCCATCCTGCAGAAGTTGAACACCCTAAACCTCTGCAATGCACTTTACACTCCCCTCAAAAAGAACTCACCACAGCCGATTGGGATGTTCCTCCAGCTACAAACACAGCAGAAGAAAAAGTGGCCTCACCACAGGACAAAGTCCCTGATAGCAGAGTGGTAACAGCTAATGCAGCCTGTCCTGAAAACCACCCTGAGGTAAACACAACCGAGCACATGAAACTGGACACTCCTCCTGATAATGATGAAGAAACAAGCTCCAAGGTCACTATTGATGAAGCTGCAGCCGAGCCATCGGGGGAGAGTTCTCAAAACAGTCAAGTGTTGTCCGTGCCAAACTCTCAGCAGCTCTGCGCTGCCGCAGACATTCAGGTGTCGCCCGTCTCTGCGGTCGGTCAGGAGGTCGACGGAGAGGCACAGAAGGAGTCTCCGAACCGGTGAGTCAAAGTCAGGAGTTTGGGTTAGAAACATGGAGGAATGAAACCATCATGATTTAAACTTTCTTTCAAAATAGAAAATACTGGTCTTCTCCCTGGTGCTCTCATTTGCGTCATAGTCTGTTTCATAACTAGATAAAAACTCCTCACAGGAGCTTCAAATAAATAACTGTATCCAGTAGGGGTGGGAATCTTTTACTGTCTCACGATTCAATTCGATTCTGATTTTTGGAGCCACAATTCGATTTGAAATAAATTTTCAATCTCGGATCTCCTTTTCCTTCATCCCTCTTTGTTTTGTTGCCTTCTGTGCATGCGTGCTCTCCAGAACCGGCTGCGTGATGATGTCAGGACGTCCAGCGTAGTTCCAAAATGGAGGCGGACAGGCAGTGGAGATTTAATCTTTTAAAATCGATTTTGGGACATTTAAAATAGATTCTGAATCGTAGAAAATTAGAATCGTGATTCTTGTGTGAATCGATTTTTTGGCCCACCCCTAGTATCCAAGAACATTTTAAAATAGAAAATAATCATTTCTACTTGAGACCACCGCCTGCTCAGTTCTGAAGCTTTATCTTCAAAATGAAAACATAGAAACACTGGACTTCTTATTTTAAACATCCAGCAGAGGATCTATCATGGTGAGAGGGCCCTCTGCTGGAAAAGATAAGTCATAACACCTCTTTTTTATTGTACTCTGCATGAAATCCTCTGTTATGTAAGTTTTCATAGGAAAACATTGATACCTGAGATTGTTAAAGTTTAGCTGAGAAGTGGAAAAATGTCGCTCAGGCTTTACACAGATGACGACAGAAAACCAGGACAGTTTGCTCTGACTCAGAAAAATGTCATTTCCTCATTATATGCTCTTATTCCTCCTCTCTCATGAGTCAACAAAAGATTAAGTTCCTAATTCATAATTATTTAGCCGTAGACATTGGATAAAAAAACAGTCTGTATTATTGGTCGTCTGGCTGGTCCTGTAAACACATCAACAGTGTTTTATATCTGTAGTTGTATTAGGCTGTCATGTTAGATCAGTCTTCAGGCAGCTTCATGTCATTGATGATTTGATTTCTAAAGAGGTAACTTGATTTGTCGAGTATCGAGTAGACTCAGGAAATGACCAGTCATGCTGTGCGTAGTTTCTTTACGTTCAACAACTCGGCAGTTTCACAAACTTCCTCCTCATTACATAAAGCTGCCTCTGTCAAATCTGTGTTATACATCAGCAGACCGAACCTCCGCTCTGTGTAAATAAATATCAATCAGATATGTTTAATTTCAGCGTTATCTCAGAGAGCTCTCCTGCGTGCACGGAGGCCGATGCTCAAGTCACAAAGAGTCACGATGCCTCTGAGTCTTCTTCTGGACCACATCCGGCCGGACTCGACCACAGCGGACAGGAACAAGATTCAGCCAACTCTGTGAGGGAGTCAGAGACCACAGCTCTGACAGAATCCAGCGAGAGGTCAGTGAGTTCAGTGTTTGTGACTCCAAAACAAGACGCTTGTTTACATAAACTTTGTTCCAGTTTCTATGAAAGCTCTCAGTAACCACTAGAGGGCACAGAGACTCCAGAGTTTGTTATTGTAGCTGTATTTGTTTCCTGATATATTGTTATTTTAGTGACAAATTTAAAAAGAGCTTCACCACGAGGGTTGAGGACATGAGTGATAATGTTTGTATCACACACAGTGGATCAGGAAAAGCAACAACGGTCTCTCTTTCTCTCTCTGTAGTTCAAAGCCTGATCAAGATGCAAACCCAGATCTGGACTCAAAAGAAGTCGCAGCCTTGGAGAGCGTACAGCAGGATATCGATGAGGAAGTGAATCTGAAAGAACAGGGAAAAGATGAAGACGTTCCTGGAGTGAAGGAGGAAAAAGAGATGAAGGAAGAGGCTGAAACCGCGGCTGTGAAAGATACTGAAGTCGAGGAAGTCACTGATAAGGAGGAGCAGCTGACAGAGGGCACGTCTGCTGATGTGAAGGCAGATGAGACGATGAGGCCGGAGAAGGAGGAGTCTCCTGGAGACAGCCTGGGGAACAGGTTTGTGGTGATTTAAGCCTCTTTTTAAGGGTCAACATCAGACATCAGGGGGGTAAAACTGAGAGACACAAATTACAGAACAGTACTGTTATAATTTTGTATTCTTTTAGCTTCACTCCACTGGCTGACGAAATCCCTCTCTGAGCTTCTACACTTTTATACTCCTTCCCCGCTCTCTCGGGTCAGCTGCTCCTGACAGAGCCTAAAACAGAGGTTCTCAAGTCCAGTCCTCGAGGCCCACTGTTCTGCATGTATTTGATCTTTCCCTGCTTCGACACACCTGACTCTAACGATCAGCTCGTTATCAAGCTCTGTAATGGCTTAATAACGAGCTCATCATTTGAATCAGGTGTGTTGGAGCAGGGAAACATCAGGCAGGCCTCCTCTTTGCCTGTTTTTAAATCACATCCCACCTCTTCTCCTTGACTTTTAACACCCAATAGGAGGTTGACTTCATTCATTTTATTTTATTGATTTAATTAATTGTGTTTGTTTTTAATTTGGTTTTACTGTGTTTTATCTCATTTTACCTTATCTATTGTGCTTCCGCTGTGTTATTTATTGTATTTTTATCTTGCTGTGCAGCACTTTGGAAACCTTGTGTTTGCTTATATCGTGCTGTATAGAAAATGGATTGGATTGGATTGGAAATGCAAAAAAATAATATTATAGATTGGCCATCGACTAATCTGCTCTCTCACAGTCTGTATCGGCCATTGAATGACCGATATCAGTGAACTCTCTCATATCTGAGGGCCTAGCTTTGACTGCAGCAGATTCACAGTACTTCACACAAGATATCAAAAGAAAACGACATTGAAAGAAAACATTTAGAAATCATTAAAATTCTGACAAATTCCTGATTTATTCTGTCTGAAAACTAAACCTCAGAAACGTCTGCTTCACCACCTTCAGCCATGGTTGTTGTTATTCTGCTCTGTGTGGGCTACAGCTGGGAGTCCGTCACTTGTGCTTTTGTCATCAACTTGCATTTATCGTATTTATCATGAGATAGCAAATATTTATCATGGAGGATTTTTCTGACGATATATCGTGAATGATAATTTATCGCCCATCCCTAGAATCAATCCAGATTTACTGTGAGCGCACTGAAATAAAAGAAGCTGAATGAGCCACAGGATCAGTCTTAGACAGGAGCTGATCATCATATTTGACAAACTCAGAGTACAGAGTTGGAAAAACAGGAAGAAGGTGAATGTTTGTATCCCAGACTTAAGCTGCGTTTGTAGAATAAAAGAAGAACTCCCAGAGAGATAATGCACTCATGTAAAATCACATCATGCGTGCAGACAGACAGAGCTCTCTATAATCACTCATATTTCCCTTTAAACTAATTTGATGTCCTGAGTTTTTTCCTCTCTCTCGGTCTGTCTGATAGTTTTTCTCGTGATCTTTCAGCTGCAGCCCTGATGGTGTATTCAATATTCAGTTCTATATGAAGTCAATATTATAGTATCTAACAAACGTCACTGTAGCAGCTCACAGGGACTATTTTCATCTGAGGATTAACACCAGTTTTGTGCACTAGTGAGTATTTTAAGCAGCAGGAAGGTGTGAGATTAACTTAAAATAAACATAAGTGTTCGTGCTGATTTAAGTGAACATGTCACTCCACTCCACCGCGGCGTTCACAGGAAACTGTGGCCCACAGACTTTGACTACACTCTAAATACAAATCAGGTATTAATATTCATCCTGGTGCTTTATTCTCTTTCTCCTTTCAGTGATGAAGACCTGTACAGAGGAGCCGAAGAGCTGCCGGCGTCACAGAAAAATAAACCGTCAGAAACGACATGTGAGCACATCCAAATCACACAACGCTGTCATTAAATCAACCGCAGCTCCAACAGCAGGACTTTTGTTCTTCAAAAGGACAATAGACCTTTTGTTTTGTCATCATTTCCTCTTTCTCTCCTGTGTTTTCTTTTTTTTTTGTCACCCAGTTTTAAAGTTAGAGGACAGATGCAGTCTGGCTCCGGCTGTGGATATCCTGTCATACAGTGAGCGAGAGTGGAAAGGAAACACTGCCAAAAGTGCTCTCATTAGAAAGGTCGGTGTTAGAAGCTGGTGTGTGTGTTTTAGATGAAAGTTTCTCTGTGTTTGTGATGCTCAGACAAACTTCCTCTACTGCAGGGTTATAAAGAGATGTCCCAGAGGTTTGGCAGCTTAAGGAGGGTGAGGGGAGACAACTACTGCGCCCTCCGAGCCACGCTTTTCCAGGTGCTCTCACATAGTACGCAGCTGCCCGAGTGGCTGCAAGAGGAGGACATTACCACGGTAAAAATGAGAACAGCCCATCAAAGTCCCAATAAATATGTCACAAACTAAGCAAACCCTACATAAAGATGTAACTTCTGCACATATGAAGGGCTGAACTTTGCTTTTTAGCATTATTCATTCCCAAATCTTCCACTTAAAGTTTGAAACATGTTAATTTGAAAACAAAAGAAGGGTTATTTTGAGGTGTTTTACCTGCTAACAGGACAGTTTATACTCTGAGATCATATCTGCTGTGGCTTCTGAGCTAACGAAAGCTTAATGACTTTTTAATGTTTCTACTTAAATGCTCTCATGAGGAGTTTTTACCTCATTATAAAACTGTGATGTTATCACTGAAGCCTCATTATGACCAATGGAAAGCAACCAGACGAGTATTTCTTGGTAGTTGTAGGTCGGTGTCACCCTTGTCCATGAACAGTCGCTGTAGAAACAAACTTTTATTTTCCCCACTGCATATGATTATTATATTCGACACATTTGTATGAAAGAGGATTAGGGCCACAAGAAGAGAAAAAAATAATTACAGAAAGGAGATTTTTTTTAATTTCAATATCGAGATTAAAGACGAAATTTCGAGATTGAAGTCGAAATTCAAAATAGTGGAAATTTCGACTTTATAAATGTTGACTTTAATCTTGAAATTTTGACTTTAATCCCCTTCCTGTAATTATTTTTTTCACTTCTTGCGACCCTAATCCTCTTTCGGACATTTGGTATCGCAAAGAAGTTTTTTGGTTTTTTTTTGTCAATAAACTGTTTAAAAGCTCAGCAGAGAAATAAGACCTGTTGCTTTCTTCACAGGGGGGCCTCATACCAGAGAAAGACCAGTGAATCAGTCATAATCAGACCCACTGTCCCTTTGACACAATCAGACATTTGACATTTATCTTGTATTTTTTATCTTTCTTACTAATTTCAGATTGCAGAACTATCAAAAATTTCAAAAATAGAGATATTTTACAGAGTCAGAAATGATCAGTCTCCATTTATCTAAAGCTGCTGTGAGGAACTTTTGGTTTACACCAATTCTGGCGCCCCCTTTTGGGCAAAGAGATACTTTCTATCTCTGTTTTGTGCATGTGAAAGTAGTTTTTTTGTTGTTGTTTTCATTTTTCTCAGACATAAACCTAATTTTATTGTCTTTTAACAGAATGATCTTAAACACCCTTTCAAACGGTTTTTGGACCTTAAACAGAATAATTTTGTCTCTGCACATCATATCTATGAGGACTGGGACGATATGCTTTTCTCTCGATTTGATTCCTCTACGATTTTTTTTGGATGCCGATTCGATATAAATTGCGATTCTACGACTTTCTCGATCTTTAGTCTGCGTTTTTAACTCCAATGAAACAGTTGAATGTTTATGATTTCCCCAAAAAATTACACATCACATGTGAGTCAGTTTTTAAGATTTATTCTTAAACTTGAAAAAAAAGGTTTTTGAACATAAATCGATTTAAAAATTGTAAAACCAAAAATCCCAGTACTTATGTGAATCGATTTTTTTCTCCCACCCCTCATCTCTATCCCATGAAATTATATCACATCAAACCATATCTATTAAAATCTATTGTTTTGTATCATCGCATATCAGATTGTTTTCCACTGTAGTGTTGGTAGTGGTTAATTTTTTTGGTGGTTATAACTTTACGAAATCAAAAATCTGTATCTTTTCCACTTTTTCAAGATTTTTGTGCTTCTGTCTCTTTCAGCACTGCTGCGATGACAGTTCATCATTTAACGTCTGTTTGTTTACAGCTGCCAAAACAACTGGAGGCTCAGGAGGGTCTGATAAGTCAGTGGACATTTCCTGGAGAGTGTGTGCAGGGAGACGGGACAGGAGATGCCATCGCTCAGCTGGAAGGATACGTGGAGCTCCTCAGAAATAAGGTACTGACTCAGATCTGCTCCGAAACATTTAGTCACTTCAGCTGCACAGAACCAGGGAACCACAGCCGAGCTATTTTTATGCCGTTCATGGACACTGAGGGTATTGATACTCACCCTCAGAGCTCTTACATGTGATTGCTTCCATATGTTAAAGGGAGGTAGTCATGGCTTTTTCTTTTCCTTTTTTCTGGAGTCATTAACACACAGACTTGTAATGCTGGAGGGGAATACTGTTACAACCGCACCGCCTCTCCTCTGAAACACTGTGAGGCTACAGGCGGGGTTTACAGTCCGTCACTGCCACTAGCAGCTTCTGAGGAACTCTGGTGTTTACTGCACGTGTGTTTTCAAAGAGCCAGGTCTCTGTCGCTTTAAGAGAGGTGCCTGACATTATGGAAAACATACCGTTACACCCACAATAGGCTGCTCTGTGTTATTCCCAGCTGTCCGAAAATATGACTTTCTAGGTAGAGTTATTTAGAGTGGCGTGCAGGAAATGGGAATAAACGGGGAATACATCCAACAATAGCCCCGCAGACAGGAGGTTACACAGTTGAAATGTATTATTCGAGTTATTTTAGTCTGGAGTTGATGTAGTTGGGAGGGAAATATGCCAAGTTTGCATTTTAAATCAGACACCGAATCAACACCATGTGCTCTTTTTCTGAAGTTCAGCTCAACAACATCAAAAGAAATGTGTCATCTATGTAAATACTAATGCGTCTTGATGCATCCCAGCAAAAAGTCAACAGGAAAATATCCCGTTAACTCCAGACAGTGTGGTTGGTTCGGTGTCAGTATTGTCCTGACAGTGCTGCAGAGTTTTGCATGCGTACTTGAAGTATTCTGCAAAACATTCCTGCTGTTTTGAGTCATACTCTGTATCAGGGCGCTTCGGCCTTGTTGCAGTGGTGAAGCAGGTATTCATGCTGTAAATATTAACCCATTAGGACCTGAACCCTGTCAGAGACACGCCTCTGAAATCCTGAGGACAATCTGGGGTCCCCAGATCCAGAGGTTTACTGAAGTGTTGAGGTTTACAAAAAAGCAGATATCTCAGCCTCTGTAGCAGATAGAAACAAAATTCAACAAGTATTTAAGAGCTTATACATGTGGCTTTCAAGAAAACTATCTTTTATTTTTCCCAGTCTTCATCACATTTTTGAAAACCTTGAACAAACAAACTCAAATGAAATAAAGCTGCTGTATAAATAAAAGTAAAGAGTCTGCACTGGAGAATAACAAACTATTTGTTTTCAGTAAAACAAGTGGCAGTCATCATAAAGTGTCCGTTAAATACAAATATAAAGATAAAAAATAAAGTGTAAAAAGGGTCTGGAGCTGCCCTAGTATAGTGCCAGAACAAAAGCAGCACTAAAAATTACAATAAATACGTGGCTGACAGTGTGTTCATCTCTGATCTCACCCAAAGTCATGTAACACTCACAGAAATCGGCGATAGTGTGAACCAAAGACCTCAATATGAAGAAGTTTTTCACACTGCTGGATGCTTCTCCACCGAAGCTGCTCTCTGCCTCCGTCAGTGTTTACTTTCCTCTCGAAGCACGTAGCAAGATCCCAGCATGAATCCGGTCACTTTTTCAGAGGCAGACGGGTATGATGATCTGATTCACCACGACTCAAGAAATGATTGAAAAACTACACAATGTTACAAAATGACGTATCTGCGCTCCCGACTTAAAGGGTAGAAATAATCAGCGGCGCCGCCAGCTCGAATACACGCTTCTCCCAGCTTTAAGGGTTGAAACACCTACATGCACCCGGCTTTCTGAGTAGAAATGCACAGCCGCGCCCCCGGCTTGGAAGGTTGAAATGCGTACATGCGTCCAGATTTAAATGGGTTAAAGATGCAGGAGAGGAACGGCTGTGAACAATCACATATTTCAGCTGTTGAAACACAAGAATAAACAGGCACAGATTCATCCTGTTATACTTTGATGTTCGCTGTAGAATAATAGTCGGCCACGGATGCACTTAACATTCCTGTCAAGAGGAAATCACAATCATAAATTACAAAGAGTGTATACAAAGTTCACTGAGATCATAAAAATATAACTTGAAAGTAAGTTGCAGCCAGTCGAGTGCGTGAATGGAGGCTATTTCAGGGCTGTGCTGCAGGATAAAACTTCCCCTCGGTTCGTTTTAAGTCTCAGGATGACCTGGTGGCCAACATGCCCTCAGAGTCTTACATGTTTCATATGACACAAGCATGTCAGAGATGTGTTTGAGTGCTGAGCCACAGAGAGAGACTACACATGAGCAGAGGAATCAATTCTCGGAGTCAGGGGTGGCCTGTGCGAGGGTTTAAAGACCCGCTCCAAAGAAAATCATGTTTTTCTTGTTTTTTATAAGTTCATATGGCATTTTTCTGATGTTACAGGACATACCATGAGAAAACTAAATTCAAAATTTCTTTTCTGAGTATTTCTTCATTCAAATCGCCGAGAATCTCTGGCAGACCCAAACGGCAGGTCAAGAAAGTGGGAGATTTCCTATGTAATCAATCTAAGCTCCGCCCCTGGAGCCCCACTCTGCATATAGAGGAGAAATAAAGAGGACGATTGCGGCGCAAGCGTATGCGTTGAGGATTGCAGTGCTCGTAAGAAAGCTAACTATGATATTAGCTTTCATTGTGTCCCTAAAGACATTTGAGCTGAATAGCTCCTATGTTAGTGTGCAGAAAAGCGTTGTCTCTGTGTAGATTGCTAATTATCTACTGGAGCTCTGCAGAAGAAAAGATGTTGAAAATGACACAGATCACGCCATTTTGGCTAAAAACTTCATAAACGTTATTTAAAGACCACTGAGAAGACTTTAAGTAGTATAAAAAAACAATTGATGTGGGACTTTAAGAACTGGAGTTATATATTTAACATTGATTTTATTTTGTTTTCTTCTAATTTGATTTTTTAAGGATTTTTTACTCTTCTTCCATCTTTCTTCTTTTCCTCTTTTCTCCTTACCTATCGATGTTATTCTCTACCTCTTCCCTTGTGAAGCACTTGAGGCTGTGTGCTTGTTTGCATGAAAGGTGCTGTATAAATAAAGTTGAGTCATGTTTCTTTGGTTTTGTTTGGACTCTGGCAGCGATAGGATTTCTTCTTCTCCTCAGGCATCCACTTGGAGTCATGAAAGAGCGATTAAAACTAGCTGCTAAAAGGATTTTTAGAGCCTTTCAGAGAAGAATTTGTCCTCCGCTAAACAATCCCAGCCCAACTTTTATGAGAGTTAAAGTTTAGGAGGACCAGGACGAATCAATTTCTCGTTTGGCGCAGATTGATTTAAGGGTGGACTGATTAGATTTCATTATCTAGCATTCGATTCTGATTTACCTCCAAGAGAAAGCAGCTGTTTGCATCGTGCATTTCCACATTAAGTCGAGTGGATTTCTGGTTCTGCAGGTTTGGTCAGGTAAAAGCTGAGATTTGATTATTTTAAGCAAACCAGCCAAACCGACGTTTTACGCCGTGACATGTTCAGGCAAAGTCCAAATCCTGCATCAGCACCCTGCAAACATCACCACAGGATCCTCGTGTCATGTGTGTTTAAAAACGGACTAATAAAAAAACAGCACAGTCAGAGAGAGTGTGTGTACTTTCCTCAAAAACAAACATCTGCAGTTAATCAATTACAAGAGAGCCCTCTGGGTAAATATCTGCAGCCAGACAAAGTTATTAATAGACCGTTTCAGCTGAACATCCATGCAGCCTTGTGGTTTTCCTCCTGTACCCCCTTCAGGAAAGATGGGATGAGGGTACAAACTCCTCATTCAGCGATCAGTCGGTTTTCATTATTTGATTAAATAAGTGTCTGAGACTTCTTTCAAGGACCTGACACTAATAAAGAGAATCTGCGTCAGAAAACTTATTTGATTAGTCTTTTATGACTCGGTTGTTTCCAGTGGCGTGCGGCGGTGGACTGTTCCTCTGCGTCAGAGCGGCAGCAGCTCTGCGAGCGCGTGTTTCAGGGAGGAGAAGAGGAGCTGGGGCTGCTGGAGGCGCTCAAGCTGCTGATGCTGAGCCGGGCGGTGGAGCTGCACGGCTGCATGCAGGCCGGCGGAGACGTGCCGCTCTTCTGCTGGCTGCTGTTCGCCAGAGACTCCTCCGACTGCCCGCGCTCTTTCCTCTCCAACCACCTCAGCCACGTAGGCCTCAGCGCCGGCCTTGAGCAGGTGAGAGAAACCCCGTCGTCTGCAGACTTACCCCTTTCTTGACTCTACACAGCTGTCATTTGGACTAATGTGAACTTCTTTATGTTTAACAACACTGCCAAGAAACTATGTGCTTTGGTTTTCTCTCCCTCTGAATCAGCTGTAAATTTCTGCAAGCTAAACTGATGTCACTCGGGAGTAAAAACAAAAATCAGCAGCTAACGCGGGGTGTCAGCGTTTGGGTGTGTAGCGTTCCCTTTGGTAAAACCTGAGCAGTAAAACAAGCCCGTGCTTGTGCAGTTTCTTGTTTTTGTGCTGTAATTTCTCTTTATAAGCCCGAGGCGTGAGGAGGTTGGAGGAGGGAAAAGCTGCAGACTGATTTAATTGTTATTTTCAGTCTTTTAATAAAAGCTTTACTGGGGCTGAATCCCCATAAAAACACCCCACCCGTTAATATCATGTGCCTGAGCAGCTGATTAAACACCAGGCGGTGTAAAAAGTGTCCTCTATAATCTGCGCTCTTCTCTAACTGTGCTATTACCCCCCTGCTTCTGCTCCTCGGCGCAGGTGGAGATGTTCCTGCTGGGCTACGCCTTGCAGTGCACCATTCAAGTTTACAGACTGTACAAGGCCGACACAGAGGAGTTTGTCACCTACTACCCAGACGACCATAAAGACGACTGGCCGTCCATGTGCCTCGTCACCGAGGACGACCGTCACTACAACGTGCCAGTTGTAGAAGTCTCGGAACTTCACGAGGACGCCGACTCGAGCTGATGCCACAGCAGAGAAATCTCCTGCCATACACACAAAAAAAACTCTCCTCAGGTCCTTCAAGATGATAGATTTACAACAATTTCAAGGAGTGATGTGACAGTTTTGGGGATCATGCTCTTCCTAACAGATGAGATGATTGACACCACTGATGCCTGTATGTTAGGAGAGAAGACACGGCTAGCAGCTGGTTAGCATGGCATAGCAGAGAGGCTGCAAACACATTGGGGTCTTCTTTACCCTTTAACGACAGCTTCTTAATCGTTTTGATGGTATACTGACCTGTTGAAAGGAAAAAGGTGCTTTTTAAAAATCCGCACTATGCCCTTAAAGCCTTATTCAACACTTTGCAACCACTGTGAGCAGATTGTTTTCATGGGAGGAGTGTGTGACGTCCTTAAAAGAGAATTCGTCAGTCGCTGTTTTAGCTCGGTGCTCTCTGTGCAGATTTTCTGGCTGTGGGTGGGTATTGTGTTCCTTATCGAGCTGGTTATAAGTGATGCGATTAGGCCCAAAATGACATGTTGTTTACCGTATTTTTCGCAATATAAGGCGCACTTAAAAATCCTCAGTGCACCTTATAATCAGGTGCGCCTTATGTATGAATTCTGGTTATGTGGTACACAGCGCTCAAAATCTATCAAAATGTTTTATTACGACTTCAGTAAGCTACAAAGCTGCACAGCCTGATGGCTTGTCGGAGCACTTTGTTTGGCTTAATGCGCTTTAAAATCCGGTGCGCCTTATGTTTGAGAATAGACGCGTTCATTGATGGTGCGCCTCATAATCAGGTGCGCCTTATTGTGCGAAAAATGGTATTGTATTTTAGAGGTATTTTGTCCCATTTGGCTCACCGTAGTCAAGCCACTGCAGCTTCTTTCTGCTTCCTTCTGCTGCCGTGATGGAAAGTTATATTTGTGCTTTTGAATAGCACTTAAAGGGATATTCCGGCGTAAATTTGATTTAGGGTCTAACACACCACAACATCAAGTTAGACACCCTGTCGAGAGATGAATGTTGTCAACTGCTTGCTTCTGTAGTTATACCAACTTTAGTAACAACCGCACGCTAGCAATACACAGCGGTCTGAGGAGCCACACACAAAAGTTACTAAATTTGGTATAACTAGAGAAGCGCTCTGCAACATTTATCTTTCGAGGGGGTGTCTAACTCGGTGTTACGGTGTGTTTGACCCTAAATCAGTTTTACGCCGTAATATCCCTTTAATCAACTCAAAAGTAACATCTAAATGATAGTAAAATGAAAAAAAGATCTAAGCTGTGATTATTTAAGATTAACCATTAAAATTAAGAAATTAGCAGTGATTGAAACTCAGCTCTGGTCCATTTCTAAGCTTCAGCTCGTGCTTGCAGGCGAATTTGACTCCCTAACAATGGAGGAAAACCAGCTGGTTCCTCCTGTTTCCAGTCTTGAAGTTATGCTATGCTAACATACAGTCGGTTGTGGCCTCGGATCTTTTAAGTTGAAGGTGGTGTCGATCTTTTTCGTCCTGAGAAGTTCAAAAAAAAGTTCCCAGATGTCGATCTGTTCCTGATAAAAATATGCTGATTTGAGACCCTGTACAAGACGTGGTTTACACACTTTTGTACACACTGTACTGTATACAGAGTTTTCTATTTGCGTGTGTGTACATATCTGTGTATCTGATATTGTGAGATCATCTCAGTTCGGCCCAAACTAGTTTTCAGGATGTCTGTTTGACAACCTTTTGTGTTTTGCGTTTCTCTCTAAAAAGAAGTTGCTGCCAACGGCGCCAAAATGATACAATGTTCGGTGTTTACACTGGAATTTGGGCACTTTGATTTCAGTATTAATTTATTGTTTTTGTTGTGTGTTCAAAAATGCATTTTAAATGAATAAGTGTGACAGTGATTAGTGAAACAGCTGAATTAGCCAGTGGAGGGTTTGACGATTTATCAGGTTTAACAACAGCTCACACCAGATGACGATGCGAGGACTCAGAGGATTTACGGCGGCCTCTGTGTCAGAGGCGTGATTTGTGATGGTCTGTCTGTGTGTGTGTTTGCAGCTGTGTGTGTGTCAAACTCAATGTGTAACATGTTGCCTTTAACCAAGCTGTTCTGAGGAGGGAAACGTGCCAATGTCGCTGCGAATACTGGCAGCCGTTCCAGCCACCAGCCACTGGATATCAGAAGAAAGCGCTCGCTTGGTCCTCCTGTTGCCTTAGAAAAAATGCACAATAAGAATGAATGTTGGTCTTTAGTGATATGAGGCTGATTCTTCTCCCTGATTCCAGAGCAGGTGGAGCTCATTCATTAACAATAAAAAAAAAAAAGTTAAATATGCCATTTTTCAGGAAGGATCTTGCATTGTGTGACTTCAGGATGGCATCCTGTTAAAAAAAAAAAGGAAAAAACAGTAAAATTTTGTAAAAGTTTTTACTTTCCCTGTAATGACAGATTCCATGAGTTTGATATTTTGTTGTTTTGTTTCCTAATTTATGAAAGAAAGAACTTGTGTAAGTTTCAGAAGGTATGCTACAGTAATTATCATACATTACATCTGTCCGGAATTCAAACAGATGCGAAAAGTTTGTTGATTAAAAAAGATTTTCCAACAGTCCTCACGTGTTTGGCGCTGACTTTTTATCATGTCCGTACAAGACCTAACGAGATGAAGATGAAACATTTCATACACTTTATCTTTCATGAACTTTTAATTTTGTTTAGCTTTTCCTGTTTATTATTGCCTCTAAAAACATTTGTCATGGCGTTTCAAGGACAATGTATAGTGAGTGGGTGCTGATGACGATCAGAATCTAAACCATAGACTGTATATACAATGGACAACTTGGTTCCGCCTTACACCAGTATACAAATTTGTGATGACGCTCGGCTCAAACAGCGTATAGCGGGTGAGCTACACAATCTTCGTACGCCCATAGGCTGTATCAAGTGTCAATCATAGAAAACATGAACCCCCTAATAACTTTTAAAAATGGAGCTGTGAGCACAAACCAGTCTTACAATAACTACATGTCAACATCGCAACTAGGGGGGAGAAAATTTTATGTTCTTTGTAATAAATTTCTAAAGTTTGTCCACAGCTCCATAAGGATTGCTGGAGGAGGCGGGATTTATGACCTATACTGCAGCCTGCCGTGGTGCTGTTCTCGGAGTGGCTTCACCCAGCGAGGAGGCAGACGCTGTCCATTCTATATACAGTCGATGATCTAAACTAGGTGAGCAGAGTTGCTGACAGAGTGGTGTGGTGCGGTATAGCAATAAATGAAGTTGGTGTAAAGCAGTGCCACAACACAGCAACACAATGCAGGTCTCCTTTCCCTGAGTCTGCCATGTTTCTAGTTTCTACCTTGTTTGTAGCGAGAGCTTGGGCGAGTCTATCGGCTGCAGTGGGGGGGATGCAGGTCAAGGAAGAACATTTATGATCATTTCTTTATTTCCTTGAAGTAATGATCACCATATTAAACATTTTGCTCTGCAGATGCGGTAGTTCTACTGTCTTAGCATCTCGGTCTGATTGCATTTCCATGAAGAAGTGATCATGGGTTGATGATGGGCTGGTCGAGGTCTCGCTACAAACAAGCGGCTGCTGGAAGAGAGTAGGTGAGTTGTGTTAAGTCTCTATGCTAAAGAAATTAGGCAAAGTTAAAAAGATGTTTGGTGGCTAGTGCTATGATAGGACCCTTTATGTCCTGTTGATGAAGTTAGTTGCTGTTCTGAGCGTTATGTGTGGCTATAGAGTGGCGTTTTGGTTGAGCTCGTGGCTCTCTGTATTGCTATCGTGCGGTCGTTATTAAAGTCGGTATAACTAGAGAAGCAAGCGGTCGGCAACATTCATCTGTCAACGGGGTGTCCAACTCGGTGTTACGGTGTGTTTGACCCAAACTTAATTGTATGCTGCAATATCCATTTAATGCTAAAAAACACAAGTTTGAATTCGTCTTAATCATCACCTTTAGTTGTCATTGAGCAATACATCAAACAATAACGATGCAGAGTCAATGTTGACCAAACAGACAGGTTAATAATAAAGCAATTTATTTGCCAAATAAGAATGCCTATACATTATATACAGTACGTAGGACAGTCTGAATACTACCAGGAAAATGCTTGGCAAAAACAGAAGTAGATGGACTTCCAGACTGCATGGAAAGTGAACGATCAGAATTGTTTCTGTAACACGCAATGATATATCGAGGGATTCCCGACCCCTCTGGGCATTAAATATACACATTGCATTACCTATATAAAACAACAATAATCTGTACACCATTGTATGTAAAATACGATTGCACAACCCAACAAGTCCCACAACATGTCTATATTTGAATTCAAGCAAGGCCTTGCTGCTTAATCATGATAAAATAACATAAAATGATAAACTCTGTATTTTGGCAACTCCACTACCACTCGACAGATGTTTCATTCTTGATGCTGCGGAGGAGGAAAAGTTCTCCTGCGTCGTTTTTTTTTTTTTTCCCTTGTATACCAGTAGACACACGACAGTGGTTAATACAGCCGCTGATGTGTTGAAGGTCGGAAGACAGAGTTATTTACACTGATGGATGAACACTTGGAGGTGCATGGCTTTCTTTACAGTGTGCATTTGAACAGTGTGCAGGTCCACAAGCAGACCTCGTCACTCGTATCCAAAGTTTAGTCTGTCTGGAGAAACCAAACCATCCACAGGTCCTCTCTCCTCTTCGCACTGTAATACTCTGAGCTCTCCCCTTAAGCTAAAATTCCACAATGAGGCCTGCCCCTCCCTCCTCCTGCTGCGGCTCACTCCTGCTCCTCTTCCTCTTGCAGCTCCTCGATGGCGTCCATCTGAGTCCTGGAACACACCTCGCTCATCGGGGCCGAGTCCTCGCCCTCCACCACCAGCTCATTGGACATCTCGCTGTTTTTCTGCAGCAACAAAAGAAATTGAAAAACACGATCTTTAAAAGAACCACCACTGCTTAAACGACAGCTGAGATTGTTGTTGTTTTCTGACCCCTGACAAATGTGAGTGTTCTGTGGAAGTATTTACTGTAGGAGCTTGGCAAACCAGAAAATCTCTCTTGATTATGTTTCTGGTGATTAGCACTCACTCATAGCAGATTAGAAAGATTTGGCTCAGTTTACAGCGGATCTGCCAATAGGAAGTTAATAGAGACATTAAGGTGCAGATTGAGGGGGACGCTGTTTCTCGTTTGGCTCTCACGAGAAAAAAGTTTTCAGAACATGTATTCAGGTACTTTTTTATGTCGAGGGAAGTTAGAGGAGAATTCGTTTGAGGAATACAAATATGCAACCACAATGAGGAAGCAATCATCTTGGCACAAAGTTGAGAGGAAGTGTAAGAAGCTTGCTGTGCTTGGCCAAACGAGAACAAAATCGGCCTTCCGGCGCCTCCAGAGCTCAATAATTAACACCTTATTTATAGTTTGTTTAATCTGTACCAAAGTAATCTTTACACAACTTTCTTTGGTTTAACAACAGTTTATATACCCAAACAAAGTCACCTCTGCTTCAGAGCATCGAGAAACCTCAAAATTACTCTGGAAAAGATAGAAATAAAACAGTTCAGGACGTTAAAGCTCAGCCTTTGGATTTCCAAATCAGGTGTTAAAGAAAGATTTGTGTCAATTTGTACTAAATTACCCTGATTACTGTATGTACTTCAGTAAAGTTTGGAGAGAGATGACAAAACACTGAAATTGTTACATAACAGAGTATAAAAGTCTAAAGGTAAAGATGGCAAGAAGTTCAACACTCTGTGAGAAACTGCGAGAGCAAGTAGTTCCATTTTTGATTAATATCCTGAGGCATAAAACTGTAAAGAGTTTTAAAATGTCACCATCTTCAGGACATAATTTCTTTAAAAAATTCAGGAAAATTGTTGAAGAAGCCTCAGTATAAAAGCGACAGGCCAAAAAAAGCAAATATAAATCTGACAAATCAAATCTTGACATTCTTATTAGTAACCATGGAGACCATGGCATCAGCTCTAAGGAAACAAGGTACATCCACAAACAGACAGTTTCTAACAGGAGCCCTTTAATTCACCTTTTTTTAATTCACACACTCAGAGTGTAATTATAGATTTGTGTTTTTGCCATTTTTCATTCATGTGTTCATAATAGGTTCTCATTAACTGCATTTGTATCAAACAGGGCAGCAGTAATAATAAGGGACACACCTGCTTCACATGCAGCAGCTGTGGTTTGAAATAAATCACTGAATAAGGCGTGTGCTCTGATAGAGGCAATGACCTCAACCCAGGTGTTCTCACCTGTTGTCGATAAACATAGCACGCTGCTATGGCAACCATTGTCGACTCCCCTATGAAGCCGGCCAGCAGGGATCCCACCCCGAGTGTGGCCCCATGAACCCTGAAATATCAAAGCATTGTGTTCAATTTTCAGCTGTAGTTATTGTTTACAGGAGCAGAGGGTTGAATCCCTTTTGATATTATTTTGTGGACTTGTAAATAAAAACAATAATAAACATACATTAAGCAGAATATCACACGCTACTGTATGAAGGTAACACTGAAAAGCCTGAGTCACAGTGCTGACCTTTGTGACCTTGGTGCTGTTCTCTGAAGTGTTGACTTACCCCATATAAGGCAACACAACTAGACTGGTGATGAGGACAATGATGCGGAGAACTGAGCTGGGGGCCAGCACAAAGGTCTTTTTCAGGGTCATGAGCCATCCAGTCAAATGAGCCCGAACAGTCACTGCAGACACACACACATACAGTACACACACACACACACACACAGAGTAAGTGGAGACATCACCCCACTGTTGCAGCTACGCCCCGATTAAAGCCGCAGCAGGAAGGAAAATCCAGCTGGACGATGATGCTTTCAAGAGAAAAACATCAATGGAGTGTCTTACCTGGCAGAGGAAAAAAGGAGAAAATCCGGAGCGGGACCACACACAGCTCGGCGAAAGCGTACTCCACTCCGATGACATCAACCAGGATTTTCTCTGATACGTGAGGAGTCCAAAACACCACAAAGCAAAGCTGGACACAAAACGGACAAAAGAGAATTAATTGTTTGCGTCCGCAGCGCCACAAAAGGGTCGCCCGGTTGCCTCATTAGATTTCATCAGTTCATTAACTCAAGGGGTTTCACATTCAACGCGAGCCTTTGAAGCCCACATGAAACACATGACGGACAATGCTATTGTTTCTAGAAAGAGTGCTGCTGAGGCACGTGCACCACTACCAAAGCACCTAAAGGTGTAACTGTATAATAACCAATTCAGAGAGTTTTAAAAATGAATATGAATAATTCAGTTCATTTGTTTAAAACTGTGTAAAGATGGTTTCTCTGCAAGTCCATGAACTTAGATAAAGCCCCAGGGGGTCTCGAGATCCATAAAAGGTGTTTTTCTGCTCACACTCTGACTCACTCTGACTGCCTCAGTCTTGCTTAATCTGGTGTTGTCTCAGCTGTGAGCAGAAAATAAACTCTATCAGCTGTGTTGTATCTGGCTCTTAGTGCTGAGTATTTTTATGAATGGAAATGCTGTGGTGCCCAGCCCACCTTCTGTCAAGACCTCACCCATCAAAAGTCTTGTGGTCTACCTGTAGATATTCATGTAGATAAGCCATCCTACCATCAATAGCATGTTCCCTCTTCTACCAACATAATCAAGTTATCGCCTTTCCGACAAAAAGTGCTTCCTTAAACTCATCACTTAAGTTGGTATAACTAGAGAAGCAAGCGGTCGGCAACATTCATCTCTCGAGGGGGTCTCTAACTCTGTGTTGCTAAGGTTGCTGCTGAGAAACTGGGGCATCTTAAATAAATACCCACGAACTTTGACAAGGCTCTGTCATTCAGTTTTTTGCTGTCATCAGAAACATCAGTGCTGATTTTAGTAGCTACTCGACTCCTTGCACAAGCACTAGACCTAACCACATCTAGATTACGATCTGTAATCTTGTATACCATATCTGAACCAGGCATCTTGACTGCACTACAATGGCTAAGCCATTAGTTCATGGCAGGGTTCGAGGTTCACAGGGATCAGTCATGTGGAATGGTAAGGAAATCAGTTCATCCTCAACTTCCCTCCCAGCGGGATACCACAAAGATCTGTACTCTGTCCCCTTGTTTTCCTTCATGGTTACCTCTGTTGATGGTCTGACTCTTCAGTCCGATGGCTTTCTTATCTGCTGTCATGCTGCCGATACCTAGTTTTACCTGTTTTTCACCTGACAACCCTACTATCTCAGTGAAGTGTCATTCTGCCTCACGAGGGGGGTTGGGCGCAACTTTCAAGTGCTCAAGACTCAAATTCTAGAGATCCAAGTCAGTGTTTACAGTCCAGTGAAACATTAGTATCCAGATCTGTTTCTGACTGCAAGAAATCTTGGCATCTTGATTGATAACCAACGAACTATAATTAAGCGTGTTCTGGTCGCTGTCTTTCAGCTTTTTCCTATACAACATCAGGCCTGATTTGAGTGTCTGCTCAGGTACCGTGCATCTGTTCTCTAAGCTCTTGTTTTGACCTTCCAACAACATGACAGTCAAATTTCTGCAAGTGTTTTAAATGTGGCAGCACATCTACTCGTCAGCCAGCCAAGAGCAGCAGAGTCTCTCATGATTCCAGCACCCATCCTCTGAGGCTGATTTGTTGGGACAAATACTTCCTCCAGATGAAAACATGTAAAAAATGTATGACGCTCGTTATGAGTCATACTTTATGTCTGAAGAAAATAAGCAAAAGTTTGACACAAAAATACTACTATCTCCGGAGAGTGAAACAAACTTTAACCGCCCAGAGCGATGTCATAAACATTTAACAATCTTGCTCTTCTTAAAGACTCACATATGTTGAAGGAAATGGAGATTGGCTGGGAAGTCTTTGATGTGGTTTTGTGGTTTCTGATCCCTTTAACCAGGATATAAAAACAGATTACATGGAACTGATGATTTCATTTTGTATCACCTGACCGTCTATGTTTGTTTAGCAGGATAAGGCGCATAATAACTAATATGTGTGGCCAGAGGTAAACCGCCGTCTCCCCTGACTCAGCTGAGGTTTTTCTAAACTAGGTGACACATGCACACTCACTGCTTTGACATCCAGGTTGTTTTTAAAAAGTGACATTTCCTCCCCCTAGAACACTGCTAAGCTCCTTTCTCAGGAGGACTACTTTCTACTTTCTCTGCTGTTTTGCATTTGGTTGCGTTTCCTTCATGTGTCATCAGAACAAGTCCTGGCATGAGGTCTGTCAACTTGTGTTTTCAACACCTCTACGGGCCGTACCTATCTGCCTGTTGTGCTGAGCTGAGCACACACCCTCATGTACATGTTTACAGCCCTGGGATCCACATCTGGTGCGCCAGCCTCCTCCCCCTCCTTCTTTTCCCATTAGAACTAACCATGGCCACAAACTTCCTGTTTTTCTTATTCAGGCTGCTAAGATAACTAACTTAGGCAAACAGCCTCTTTTACAAAACACGCTTAATTTTGCCTATTGTTCGAGAAAGTGCGAGGAAAATCTGATCATAAAGACTGGATTGTCTTTTTCTGGACTATTATCCAAATATTTTGCTGAAAAACAAAACTCCCTTTGCAGAAGTGTACATAATGTGACTGCAGCGCTCATTACTTAGCAGAAAGTACACCTGCATGGGGCTTTAGGAATGTGTTAACTGATATGTTTTATGTGAATGCCTGTTTTATTAAGCTCTTAAAGCATGGGTGGGAGTGTTGGGAGGGGGACACACAAAAGCCCCTCTGCCCCTTCACAAATTCCATCCTAATGTGTCTCCTTCTCTCTGCAACCTGAAACCACAACAGGATGGCAGAGGAAAAGTACATTCAGTATGCCTGTAGCAAAGCTGTGACTCCCCATCAGCTCCAGCGTGAAGACTTTGTTTTATGGCTCTTTAATTCTACCTTCATCCCTGACAAAACAACCCGCTTTGGTGATTGAGTGAGAAAAGACTGATAGCAGCGCCTTTGGCATACCATGCAAAAAACTATGTTAAACATGTTTCCGCATAACACTTGGCTGGTTGTGACAGTGATGGAGTTCAACTCTGACCGACATACAGTATCGCCTGATCTGCATAACAACAGGATTTGAAAAAGCCAGGCACTGACTAGGTGTGTGTTTCTGTACATATAGATGTGTGTGTTTATCTTTGGCTACTGCTTTAAAACGGCTGTTAACTGAGGGAGAGGTCACGCTTCGCTGAAGGACAGCACAGACTGTAAACTAATACTCTTTAACTGTAGGAGACCCTGTCATGGAACTCAATACTAGCTGTATCAACCACTGAGCAGGGTCCATGTATTTAAATGACCCTTTGACTTAATGAGAGCAATGTCTGAAATGAACAGGCTACAGACCTATTTATAGTGTCCATGTGCACTTTACTAACATTGGGATGATTGGGATCTCTCTCTCTCTCTCTCTCTCTCTCTCTCTCTCTCCCTGGATATTTTTACTGTATTTTGTTTGCCAGATTGAGTTTCTGCTTTTTAACCCTTTGAATTTACGACATATATTGATTATACAATTTTTATTGTGATTTTATTTATTGTGAAGACTAGCTGATTGCTATGGCTTCAGCTAATGGGTATCCTTAACAAACAAATAAACAAATAAACTCACAGACGTACGGCAGGGTACAATAGTTTGTTAAGCTTCAAAAGAGGGTTACAACTGATACCTAAACAAACTCACATTTACAAACAGAAAACGACGTCTAGATCTATGAGATATTACTAAGCAGATAGAAGAAATCAGAAAGTGGACACATGCTCACTGCCCAGTTATAATAATTCAAACTTTCACTCATTACTTATATCTCCTTATTGAGTCCTGATTGTCTTTCCGCTTTGATTTAGTCTGGGCTTGTAACCAACCTTTCTAAGCTGGTTCAGAATTTCAGCAGTCATTATTCGGGATCAAACTCGGCTGAACTGAGGTTGGATTCTGTCAACATGTTTAATAAATTGCAGCTGCAGACGCTAACAGTGTTTTAGAGTCAAGTGTTTCTCTGTCAACTGATGACTTTTAGCCAAATTGACGCAGACATCCAGTTTTTTCATGTGGCACATTCACTGACTTTACTTTGACACAACGATTGTTTGTCATGTTTTCGTTTGGGTGTTTTCTCTGACTTTCTCTGAAGTTACTTTATTTTCTGCACTTAAAAACTTTGATTTTAATTCAAAGTACACTACTTCAAGTAGATTATAACTTATGTAACAGAGTTTATAAAGCGAAAAGAACGGTTAGAGTATAAATGATTGTATTTTGGGTGGGGATGTTTTGCTGAGTGTAGCAAAACAGGATATGTCTTTCCAAAAAACACAAGATAGGAACACACCTGAAAACACCTGGAATAGTTTTCCACAGCCAATGATGAATTACTTGAGTTGTATCAAAACTGGAAAGAATCCTTACATTTTGATTTTCTCATTGATTTCATGGTAACATGACTCATCCAAACCTGTTAATCCTCAAATTTGCAGATTGTAAATCAATAGATAATCATCTGTCAGTCTGTTTATCCAAATTCAAGCCAGACGTTCAGGATTGTTTTCACAGAGACAACAAAAACAACTGCCAACCACACCTTTTTTTTCCCTGCTGTAATTAAAGGTTGCTTCACCCCCGTGGCTGAGCCTGACTCTGCCTATTGCATAATTTTGAAACTGCAGCACGGTTTGGCAGAGGGTAGGGGAAGAGGGGCACAATGCGGAGGCTCAGTGACATGAATAAGAGGGCTTTAGCTTTAATTTTGTTTTTCTAATCTGACTGCTTTCACAGGTCAGCGCAGGCATTTCACAGTTTAAGAGCTAATTAAAAAAGTCGCTTATTTTAACTCATCATGAGCTGGGGGAAAGTTGACGGTGTGAAGTACCCCTTCAATGACATCTCCTGAGAGGCTGTAACCATTTACTACAAGACTCAAATATGCATGATCATCTTACCGTGAGGGATAGAGCCAGACAGCAGAATGTAAACTTTTTAATATGCGCCTTGTTGACAGGAGTGCCAGCGTTCAGCTTGTTGCTGGGATTGTTCTGTTGGTAAGGAGAGAAAATTAGCTGCCAGACAAAACGAAGATACAATAAATTTTAACCACCCTCTTGCAGGGGGGGGAAGTCATTACCTTGTCAAAAGCAGGGTACACTGCTCTGAGCTCTGTTAACCAGCCGTACGGCATGTGACCCACAGGGTATGTGGCTGTGAGGACTGCCACGGCCTGGAATGACAAAGACACAGACGCTGTAAGTCACCAGCACACAGCGAATTTCACGTTGAAAATACCACTCTGAGAATACACAGCTAAATTCATGACTGGCATCTCACAATAGCAGAGATGAAAGCAACACCTCTCTCTCTGTTTCTCTTCCCACCAGTGAGTGTTTTGGTTTTGGTTCACAAGTTTATATTAGGATAACAGCCTCGAGGTTGTTATTGTGTCCAAAACAACAACTGCCAGTGTGCAGCTTTACGCAGGAACAGTGGGGACATGTGCAAATGTTTTCACTCGCTGTGATCACGCCCTGAACTCCATATGAACGCTGTGAATCACCCAAACCACTGTTAGCCAGTGTTGTCAATGAAGTCCAGTTCATTCTGGTAAACAGCTTTGTATTGTCTCTAGTAGTGAGGGTCTGTGCACGCCAGAACGCTCCAGAGGGGAGTTTGCGAGCGTCTAACGGCTCATCTGCAGTAACTTGAGGGGAAATAAGTGAAGGAAAACACAGAGCTGTAAAGTCCCGCTGAACGACATCACATATCGAAAAAAAGTCTGTAATTAAGTCATTTGCGGCTACTTTTGTAGAACCTCATGAACATTTATAATAACAGAACTTGATTCCTCTCGGTCACGTGTACAGAAGCCAAAAGCAGCCGTGCAAGCGGTTGTTTTATGATGCTTGGAGATGTATGGAGACCACATGTTAACAAGCTCTATCATATAAAAAAAAACAAGGAAGTCAACCTTTAACCAAGAGAAATTAAAGATAGTTGTTACTTGTAATGTTTATCAGGGATCAGGAGTACTATTGAGGAATTTACTGAGTCCTTAGAGAATAAGAAACTCTGTGCAGCACTTCTACTGACTTGTTATTAAACAGAGATCATGTTGTATTTGCTGGTTTGACCTTTATTTATCAATCAGATCTCAATGTGTGCAGGCAGAGGGTATCACCTCTGGACCTCTTGAAATAATAAATGGTGTGCCTCAGAGCTCTGTTTTAGGGCCTCTGTTGTTTACAGTTTATATCAACCGTGTTAGTCAAAGTGTCTCTGAAGCAAATTTAAATTTGTATGCAGATGATGCTGTTATTTATTGCTCTGCTCCAACACAGTATCAGGCTCTAATTGACACCTTCGATACTGTGAAAGACACCTTTCATGAGTCTAAACACGGGACTTTTCCAAACTCAAAGACAGAGTCATTCAACCTACCATCTATTACTATGTCTCCATGTGAAATTATTGAGTCTGTATCTTCTTACAGATACTAGAATTCATAATTGGTGATTATCTGTCTTTTAAACTTTACATTCAGCAACTTGTTAAGAAGTTGAAGCTGCCGCTGGGCGTCTCTAAGCCTTTACTCCCTGGATACTGTTTATCACGGAGCTCTGAGGTTCATCACAAATCTTCAGCCTCAAACTGCGATTCTTCACTTGCTCCCCTTGTGATGTATGTGATGTAATTAATATGAAAAATGTCTGAAGCCATAGTCTTCACTATGTGACCCAGACACAGGACTTATTTTTGCTTTCTGTCCCCAGAGTGTGTCTTGAAATAAGTCAAAGGAGTTTTAGGTATGCTGCTCCAATGGTTTGGAATTTGCTGCAGGGGAATATGGATCTGAAGGAGCTGGTCTGTTTTGAAAGCAGACTGCATACACTGGAGGAAGATGCACCAGGCTGTAGATGATTTTGAATATGTGATGAAATATATGTTATCGACTTTTTTAAAATTCCGTGTTGTACGTTTTTAACTTTGTTGGAACGTGCTGCTGCTGTCTAAACCAGGACACTCTTGTACAAGAGATTTTTAACTCTAATGAGGGTTTCCTGGCCAGTAAATAATAAAATATGAAAAAGCAAAATAAAAAACATCCAGACAGCTGTAACACTGTCACATCAGGGATGACCAAATATTGATCAATGCACAAGCCTTCAGGATGACTCTGACTTTCAGGTGTTAGGTGTGGTTTCTCCATTTGCAATTAAAATACAAGTAAGCCTTCAAAAAAAGTACAATTCCTTCAGGGGGGTTTTTAGACATGTGACCAGTTGCTCATAGCCACACGAGGCAGGTTTTGACGTCCTCGTTGAGAATAAATGGCTTTTTTTTTCTCTTCTTTTGGCTTGCTCATCCTTTTAACTTCCAGTTATGAAACTGTGTCAAAGTTGACTCTCGTCACAGTTCAGTTTTAAATCTGCCCTTGAGTCATGACGCAACAGCTGAATTTAGATGTGATCAACTGATCCAGACAAACATTTCCAAGTGGGAAAAAAGGTGATTATTCACATGATAAACCTTCTTGGAAAATCGTTTTTTTTTGTTGTCAAAATAACCCCTAACTGTATGTTTATCAGTCATTTCATAACAGGCCAATAAAAGCTTAGTTGTCTCATAAAAAACGTGTGACCTCAACATAAAGCCATTAAATACTATCTTTACGCAGGGCAGTTCATGGCTTCTGTACACGACAAGAAATTCCTTGCTGAACAGCTGAGACACATTCAGTGATTTAAATTGCAGATGCACCCACCTCAGTAGCATCAGAGGTCCCTTTGAGGTCGCGGGAAACAAAGAGGTTGACGATGGGTCGGCTGATGCGCTGAGTGGCTAGGATGAGTGCCAGGGGCCACCAAAAACTCAGCATCTTTTTGATCGTGGCGTCTCCCTGCAGGGATGCAAGTATTTCAACAAACTCCATTCTTTTTTTTGCAGAAATCTCCCTTCATCAACTCAACTCAATGGAAGGAAAAAAGGCCAAACTTACTCCCACATCAAGCCCACTGGAGTCTGGGATGCTATCGTGGATATTACAGTAGTAACCCAGACCGACTATGCTGAAACGGACCAAGGCACCCATGTACAAGGAGAGGATTGGGATGAGTAACGGCTCCACACATTCCAGGTTACTGTTGAGCAGAATGGCCACAAACACAATCTGCAGGGAAAGAAATGCAAGAATAAACACCAAAGCCTCCGGAAAGAATGCAGCCACGGTCTGCATTACAGCAACACTGAAGAATGGTTTAAATTACCTGTGCCACAACATCAGAGATGGAGGCTGAGCCCACTATGACGCTGTATTTGTGCTTGAGAAGTATCCCTGCATGGATCCACGCCTTCAAACAGAACAATGAACAGAGATGTTACCCGTAGACAAAAGCTCTATTTTTGCCGTTTTCTCAACCGCAGCTGGATGACAGGCTACACTAAGCAGGGAATGCACTTTCACTGGCATGGTTAGAGGATTTTAAATGTGCCTTTTCTAGGTCAGGTGTGTTTAAATCCACACTCGCATGCAAAACGTGTCATGTAGAATAATCCTTATGTACTGTAAACTCACCATGGCATCCAATACGGGGAATGCAGCCAGGTATAAGAAAGCTTTCCTAGTCTTCTGCCCCACAGATTCATCCACATGGTGGAGCTTATTAATGATGTAGTATCCTAAATCTGTATAAGCTGTAAAAAACACAATTGAGTTGATCATTTTCATCATTTTTAATCATCATGTGCAGCAGAAAGAAAGAAAGCTGCCAGATGGTGCGAGAAAAATTGAAACTTTAGTTTGTGGCAAAACCAAAACATCTTTTTACAGCATATGGTTTAAGCACAGCGTGTCATCACGCGTGCACAAACAAACCCTTAAAACACACCTATCAGGATGTGAAGCACGAACGCAATGGCCCCAGCCGTCGCCATGCAGAACACCGCCTTCCTCCGGTCCCTCTTGCTATTGACAAACACCAAGCCGACATTTTTGAAGTCGCTCATAGGCCCGGTGAAGAACTTCATCAGGGAGTAGGCCAGACCGTAGCTGGCCAGCATTTCAACCGCATCCTCCTTGACTGTGGCTATGCCCCTGTTGAGGGCCTGGAAAATATACCGTGGAGAGGGTGAGGTGTCAGGGGAACGGGACACACATGAAAGGGGAAGAGGAGTTCAGTATGGCAGCGTGACAAGCTCACATGTCTGTGACGAGCCTAACTTTATCTCTGACCAGATGGCAAGTGCTACTCCACACGGGTCTAAATCAAAATTAAAGATACAGATTTGCTTTATATGCACAATAAAAACCAGACCTTTGACTACCGAGAGCTGACATTATAATGTTTGCACTGGAAGCACCTGCAACTCTCTATCCCTGATTTATTTCCTTTCAGTTTTACCTTCAGAGCGACTACTACAGCTGTCCTTCCTTTGCAGGACTGTGTGCTATTTATACCAGCTAACAGAGCCATTACATAAGCTTAATCCTAACATCTCCGAGTCACAATGTGTTTTTTCATTCTCACACTATCTGCCCAGTGTCTCTCGGGAGAGGGCAGCCACCAGAACAGTCATATGTCTGACAAAGGGCAGGAAATGTCCGAACAGGAAAATATGACGATTATAAGAGGAAGAAAAAAGCCTGGTACACGCTCTGTCATCACAAACAGGCCTGAGCCAGATTTACTGATTAAACAGAGGACTAACATATAACAGAAAGATGATAGATAAATGAGGATAAATATCAACAGGAGTTCAACATATGTGTTTATGAAAAACACACAACAAAAATAAACAAGCAGGGGCATGTCCAGACTTTTATGACTGGGGTGGCCCAGCCCTGCACTAACTTAATAGGGTGGCATGTGTATACATGCATACTTAACACTAACAGATTGTGTTTGTTTCCTTTTTTATTGCCAGTAATCATGTTTACTTTTATTACTAGCATAAGAATCTGAGACAAGGAGATATTTTTGAACTTCAAATAGTAACAACAGATTAGCAACTATTGATAGTTTGGACAATCTTGCTTCATTTCTGCCCATTTTGACATGTAAAGCCAGAAGACTGCCTTGATAATGGCACACATATTGAGAGCTGACGTTTTATGATTTTTTGCAATCTCAAGTCACAAAAGGTGAGAAAACAGCATATGCGAAATGAAAACAGAATACAATCTAAATGAGTGTTTGTGTAAACTCGGCTGTTTAATCTGGAAATGAAAGAGATGAACCGTGGGGAGTTAAACCGATAATCGTGGGGTGGCAATAGCTCAGGAGGTAGAGTGGTCGTCCAATAACTGGAAGGTTAGTGGTTCAATTCTAGTCTGTCTGTTGTGTCCTTGGGCAAGCAATTAACCCACCTTGCTCCCAGTGTCTGTCCTCCACTGGTGTATGAATGTGAGTGTTGTGTGGTGGTGGTTAGAGAAGCCGTAGGTGCCTTTTAGTCACATGACATGGAAGCTATTGAAGAAAATGTTCAAAATTTGCCTCTAAATTTAACACTAAAAATGTAACAAATTAGGGAAATAAGGAGGTGTGTCTTATTGGTCGACATGAGAATTATTATTTGAAATCAATTTTAGGTCAATTGGTCGTATGACATGGAAGCTATTGAAGGAAAACAGCCTTTCCTGAGAACATCAACCGGTAATTTATTGACGGTCCCTTATTCAACACAGAATGTTGACAGCGAGGATGCAGGGTAGATTTAACTGCGATGTTGTTGCTATCCCCGGTTATGGAGAGTGAGCAGACACCGGTAGATCCAGTATTAATGATTTGTTACTTATTCATGTTAGACTTTTTTTAAACTGCCAGTTTTAATGCATCTGTACTAAAAACTAAAGAAACTAGAGAAGAGTTCAACATTTTGACATATAAAGTAAAAACAAAGAATAAGATACACTTAGTAAAATATAAAACATTTTAACTCAACAATACAACAAATGTAGATAAATACTAATTTAAACAGTGAACTAGTTTACAGACCTGAGTCTTTTTGCAGGTATGCAAGACCCAAAATAAACAACCCCCCCCCTCGGCGATAATAAAAAGATGATGAAAACATTGTAGTATAGTTTAAGCTAAACTGCTAATACTACTCGTGCCGTCAGCAGTGACAGGCAGTGCAGACTCCGCTCCGCATTTTCATGCTTTCCGCATAATCACTTGGAAGAACTTCTAAACAGATTTGTTATGTTGCCGGTTTTTGAGGGCACAACATACCCCGACATACCTCGCAAATCGGCTTAATTACTCGACATCACTTTGGAGATACCCGAACCACCACCACACAACCGACGTTGAATAACTTCTCAACAATAACATCTTCGAAGGATGACTCAAAGTCACAGCTAATATCTATTTTGCTGCCCTCAGCTTCGCGTTTAGCTCCACGTTTGGTCATTCTGTTTACTTCTCCGGTAATTTACAGAAGTGAGCAGGAAAAGCTTGACTCTGATTGGCTGTTGTGACGCACATTTCCACTATGTTTGATCGAGTAAATACGCTCACTGCTGATCACCATGATCGAACCTAGTTGAAATAAAGCCCAAATTGTTGTTATAACATGAGTCCAACCGGTAATAAGCTTAAAATTTAAAAATGGCACCAAGTAGAGAGGGCATGCCACCCCTGAGAACCCCTCTGAATACGCCCCTGTAGAGAGGGGCCTCTTTGCGTGATGAGTCCAGACGCCTCCTATCTTCCTAAATAATGTATAATAAACCCCAATGGATATCTTCACAAAGCCTCTCACTGCTAAGCTAGCTCTAGTTTCAACATAACCAGACGCTTGAGTGACAAAAACGGCGTCGACATGTTGAGTGTCAGTGAGCAGAAGACGCTGTTTGTGTTTTCTGGAGCTCACATATTGATGCTCGGTGAAAGCAGCAGCACACAGAAACATAATTCCCTCTGAGGCTGAATCATATACAGTCCGCATGAGCCGTTAGCCGCTGCTAGCAGAGATAAAGCTGTGGTTAGGAGATAAAGACAGAAACGTTACCTGTTCTCCGAGGTCGATGGCAACATTGGTGATAGCCAAAGGCACCAGGAAGCGGAGGAGAGGCCAGTAAGGACTGAGAGATGGAAACTCCACCATAGTACAAGCCGGGATGACAGAGCGAGGGGCATCTGCCTCGGTCTTGATTGATTAAAACGGACAATCAAAGATTAGCGGCTAGAAAAGGCGGCGGAGCACCTGTGTTTCTACCGAGATCTGTGGCGTTAGAAGGAGGAGCAGCGTTTCTTCACAATGCTTCGATGCTGCTGAGGAGCCGAGAAGGAGGAGAAGGTCAACGGAAATTTCAGACCGGCGCATCTTCCTCCCAAATCATCATCAAGAAGAGGGAGGAGGAGGAGATAGAGGAGGGGGGGAGAAAGACGCAAGGTGACATCAAACAGCGCCGAACTGGAGAGAGGAAGCGTCCCACCGTGTCGTCGTTTCAGATATGGATGATAGAGATAATCCCCAAAAAGGTTGGATTAGTTTTCTAGCCCCGTGTACGACTGCGCCTGTGCTGCGCAGTCCGGTTGTTGTCGACACTCCCCGAGGCTGGAACCAACTGCTGCCGCACGTGGGCCTGGCATCCCGGCCGTGACATCATCACCGAGTCTAAACCTGGCTGTTATTTTTACTGCCTGTTCACACACACACACAATCATACACACACACAACATGCAGGGCTGCACAATGTATGTTTACATCAAACCAAAAACAATGAGGCCGTATTGTTCTGGTGGGGTATTGTCATGCTGAATAACGCTTCACACGTTTTAAAGTGTCTCCGTTTACACAAGCCAACAAAACGGGGGAAAATCTGGCAGGGCTTTGGTGGAAACATGCTGAGGTGAATGGAGCAGAAAGGAGCTAAAGTGAAAAAAAAACACATACCTTTTGATGCTAAAATTACAACTTACAGTAAAAGAAAAGTTTTCCCACAGTTTTTTGTTTTTGTTTCCCAGCCCCTCTTTTTTTCTCCTCTCCTATTTTCTTTTAGATAACCAGACAAATCCTGACATAACAGAAGCAAATGAAAGACTGACCCCTGGTGGGCAAAGTAAGAAAAGACAACCTCAGGATAAGTCCAGTTTTCAAATTTCAATATTTTTTCCATCATAATCAGACTTTGAATTTCAAAAACAACAAGTAAACAACAATAGAACCCGAACCTCCCACCCACACATAGACACACACAAGCGCACACAGAGTGAGAATTTAAGATATGTTGTTAAAGAGACATGGCCTGACACCGAGACATTGGGTAAAGAAAGAGCTACCTTTGAGAAACACTGGAGATAAAAGATAAAAAACAGTGAAAAGAAAGACTAAAACCTGATGGACTAAAACAAGAAAATCAAATAAAATGAACAAATAAGTAAGAGCTCTTTACAAAAAAAAAGGGATAAAAGAAGTAAAAACCTCTAGTCAAGAAATAGACTGAGAACAGAGATAACTAATAAGATTACATTAAAGAAACATTCAGAACTTTGATTAAAATGAACATTTGCAATAAAAGAAATATAAAAAGGCAATCAGAGAAAAGTCTGGTTAAAAAAGTGAGTCTTGATCCTCTTTTTAGAAAAATAAACAGTCTCTGCGGCCCTGAGGCGGGGATTTATCGAAAGATTTTTGTTGTAATTTTCACTGAATAAGACAAGACATAGGATTTTTACCTTAATACGTCTTATAACACAGTTGTAGCCATCCATCAGGCCTGAGCTAATGCATTACAATAATGTACTAGTATATTACAGTAACCTAAAGGTAAAATATTCAATTTTACTGTAATTAACCAAGAAGAACAAAATTCTTCTCACAAAGGCATGTCAGTGAAAAGTCAGTTCAGTTAATGGATTTCACCTCTGACCAGATGTTTTTTTCAATAAAAAAAACATGGTATCTTTGATTGTTTTGTTTCTTTTTGCTTAAACTGTACATGTGTTGTGCTTATTTCACAAAAAAATGTATTGCCACTGCACAGGATTTACTACAGAGTCGAGTTAGTCATTTATCAGCCCAAAGATTGCTCGAATGCAACACAATATATGTCAACTATTACACAACAAGTATGATCAAATTTAGTCACCAAACAGATTTACAGATGAGAATGAATGAATAAAGAGGTTCTTATAGGTACTAAAGTTTTAATTATCAGGTTATCAGGTGAAAGAAATAAAAAGAAACAACAACAAATATGGAGGATCTCAGCAACAATCTATCAAAAATAAGGAATCACAACAGGTCCACCACGTTGTGTAAACCAAACAGTCTATTGTCCAAGGCCATACCCTGTTTCCTCTACCCTTTCACACACTTACAGGTATGCAGATACACACGGTTTCAGCCAAGGTGAGATGGAAACATGCCAGCGTCTGAGTGTAAAGAGCCGTAAGTAAAGCCTGGGTAATGCTCAGTGAGTTGTTTTTGTTTCAGCCTGGTGCCTGAGGGAGCTTCTGTCGTGATTTTAACAGTTGAATCAGCCTTTTACCAGCAGGCATGCCTCTCCTGGCAGCTGTAACCAAAGTCAGATGTTTTCTCAAGAGCTTAAATACCTGCGAGGACACTTTGTGAGTTGCAGGCACAGTATAATTTCTCCATAATGTTGGATTGTTTTATTACATCTGCTGCTAACTGCTCACAGGGTCCTCAGTAATAGAGGTGGTTTTCTTTTGAAAGTTAACTGTTGACTTTTACAAGCTGTTTTTTACAAGTCTAGAAGTGTGTTTAGTGCAGCAGTTCACCAACTGTGTGTGCTACTGCTCGTTTTGTGGGTGTGATTCTGGACAACAAAGTCAGGAGTGGTGCCCAGGTATTCCTAATGAATGTGTTTGAGCGTCAGTTGTTTTGTGTATGTGTGTGTGTGTTCTTGTTTTCAAACGAGGTGGCACCTTTGGATAAGCTCTCTGGTACTGGCATGAAGATGTGAAAACTTTGGTTGTCATTTTCCATGACTTGGAAAAGTGTTAATAAGTTTCCCAGATAATTTAAAGCCTAAAGCAACATTAATTGTTTCTGTGGGATGCCTGTTTTGAGTTGTTCTCAGTGACGTACCCTCTCAACTCTCACTTTTCTCGTTCTCCTTTCTCTCTTGTTCTCTCTTCCTCCTACGTACATTCTTCTTTCACTTCCCCTGCTTCATCTTCAAACTTTTCCTGCCCTGAATTTGAACCCAGAACCATTATATTGGCAGGCAGCAGTCTAATCTTTTACTCTGAAGGCCTGCCTAGTGGCACGTTCTTTTTAGGCTTTTTTATTCAATAATCTTATCATGGCTGTTCAAAGCCAAAGTTCAAAGCACAGTCCAAACAGGCATAGACAGACTTTGTACATTACGAACCCAGGACCATTTTCTTCAAAGGTCTTGTCCTCAACACCAGAGGCCACCTCTTTAGGTCTTTTCATCTTATTTCCATCTTGTCCAGTATATGAACAAAGACCTATTTTATTCAAAGACAGCAGTTTTATCTATGATACTAGAGGTCTTCTTAGCAGTGCCTCCTTTTTGAGGTCTTTTCATTCAACTATATCATCACTGTAGTTCAAAAGCAAAGCTTGTGCCACAGTGTAAGGGAAGCATTTCATTCACATTTATTTGATTCAAAGTCACTAGTCTTATCCACCATACCAGAGGCAGTGGCTTGCCTTTATTGGTCTTTTCATTTCATTGTTTTGTTATCGGTGTTCAAATGCAAAGCTTTGTCAAGAGTGTGGAGGAAGCGTTTCATTGCCATCTCACTAAGAAAGCCTAAGACTGGGATTTGACCAAAGAACTACTCTATTAAAAGCCAGTTGTCTCATCAGTTACACTAAAGGCCTACTTCACAGTGCTTGCTTTTGAACGCCTTTTTAGTCAGCTGTATCATCACCGTAGTTTTAAAACTAAAGCTTAGAGTACATTGTGAAGCATTTAATTTCAATCTCACTCCAAAAGCCTAGACCAGGATTTGAACCCAGAACCATTTTTCTCAAACCAGCCTGCTGTAAGGGATCAGCTCTAACCATTGTGCTCACAAATTGCCTGGAATTTCTCACTTGGGTTTTTTGGCTTGCAAGAATTTTCTTATTCTTTAAAATGAAAGTTAATATTTCATTGGGATGAAAGTCTTGCTCTTCACAGGGGATTCCCCAGCCCAGATTAAAACCGTGAAATAACAACGACCCCATTTCACTAAGTCATAACCTGCAGCATATCATTCATCAAGAATATTTTACATTTAAAACATGATCTGATTTACGCTCCAGTGGGATACAACCAGAATATATTTGTTCAGGGATGATCTTGACAATTTAAAGCTTTCTTGGGTTATTTGACTCATGGTAGTTCAAAATCATGATTCAAATTCCAGCGTGAGAAAGTCTGAATGCTCCTTCTCACACAACAAATGCCTGAGTCCAGTTGAATCCTGAACCAACAAGATGGGAGGCAGCAGTGACAACCTTTACACTATCTGTCAATCAACATTTTTCCAGTTTATTCAACTTTCAAGTCATTCTGGTAACTTCATGATGAAACTTAATAAATAGTCTTTCTTATACAAACACAAAGCTGTCTGTTACTATAAAGCACTACAGCTCAGGCTGTGTGTTGGGGTTTGAATCAGATACAGGCAGTGGTTCAATAACTGTTGTCACTGTCAATAATTAATGAGTCAATTAGCTGTTGAGTGGTCGAACAGATCTGCCTTGCTATCATTGTTGGCTGCTTAGCTGGCAGCTTCCTCTCTCCGACAAAGCTGAACAGATATTGATTTTGTGCCTCATATGGCGGTATTGAGCTGAACTGTGTGCTCGCTTTATGAAGAGGAGCGGAGTTTATCAGTTTATCTGTTCATACCTGCAGATGTGTTTAACCAAAAGAATGAAAGTGCAGGTTTAATGTTGGACGATGTTGACCCACACTAGATATAAGACATTAGCGTGAAGTTGAAGAAGAAACAACAAACATGGCAGGAGTCGTTTTAAAAGGGAATTGTTGTCCTATTTATACCTATGTCAGGGTTCCAGATGCTCAAGAGTCTGGGGTTTCCTTTCTTGTCCCTTTTCAATGATACACCCGATGTCTTCAATGTGTGGCAAGTTGGAACTACAGGCAGGCCAGTCTACCACCCAGACACTCCTACTATGGCGCCATGCTGTTGTAAATAATCCAGGATGAGGTTTGGTGTTGTGTTACTATAATATTAAAAGCATTATTTGGATGGTAGCTCATGGTGCAGCATAACTTGTTGATACTGCTCGACATAACGCTCCTCGTGACATGAGTATGTATGCACCTTCATATCAAAATGGATGCTGGCTTTGAACTGTGTGCTCAGCCCTAAAGAAGTTGGCAGTGTAGCTTAATTGTGCTTTTTTTTCTTTGCATAATAACATTTTAATCTCCATTTGTGAATGTAGCAATGAACTGACTATGGTTTTGGAAGTGATTTTGAGCCCACGCAGTGATTTCCACAAGGACAAAAAAAGAATTCATGATTCTGTCGATTTTGGTTGGCTTATAGCAGTATAAAATTGCTTTTTGCTGCGCTGTTTAAATGGGTAATTGTAGGTCATATTTCCTTTGCCTTACCAAACTAGATGTAAATCACTGCCCTGAATAGCAAATAATGATTCCTTTTGCAAATAAAATCTCACTGCACTTGCACTTTACTATACAAACCTCTTTCATGACTGTGTCAATCAAAAGTGGTGGAACCAGTTTTACTAAGAGAAAAAAAAAGACAATTCAAACTCTCTGGCACCTTCAGTCTGCACTTATCTGAGGAAATGATGCCAGCTGCTCTCAAAGCTCTCCTCTGTGTCTCCAGATGATGTGAAAAAAATAATACAGCAACACAAGAAACATCCGGAGCTGATACACATGCTGACCACAACATTGGAGACTGAGTGATGGTGCATCCTGGAGTGAGGAAAGGAAAGAAGAGAAGGAAAGGAGGAAGGAGTCAGGTTTTCCTTTTCACTTCCTCTTGGCAAGAGAGAATTTACTCCTTTACTCCTTTTCTTTTCACCTCCTGTAGTTGCTTACCGATTCATTGATTCGTTTTTTCACAATTATCTCACCTCATTGGTGTGACAGTCATGATTTTGAAAAACTCTGATTTTGAGATGCATATTTAGAGGTTTTCTAAAATTTTATGTTGCGTATTTAGGCATTCAAAATAAAAAATGGAATCAATGAATATTTTTTAAAAAGGCTACTAGTGTAAGGGCAGTTCTTTACTGCCCCCCCTTTTTTTCAATCATACTGAGTGGTGACAATGCGACCCTTGTTCCAGAAAACGTTTGCATGCTGTGAAGGCTGCCGTACAAAGGTGAAGTGGAAAAACTGTGATGTGAAGTTTGTCTTTTTTTTGGAACCATAGACACTGATACTAGAGAGCAGATTTGATGTCAGCACACATTTTAAAAGCTTACATCTGTGATGGTACAGGGACGCATGTGTCTATGGCATGCACAGCTTACACATAAGAAGGCAGCATTAATGCTGAATGCTGTACATGCTTTGGAGCAATATGCTGCCATCCAAAAAATTCATTTTTCAGTTGACATGTTTTTATGTTGTCTAGAGAATATTGAGTTTAAATTCATCGCAAACCCTAAAACTCTGTTTTTGTCGACATTACTTTTCACGTTTTACACGCTGTTTCATTGTTTTTGAAATTTGGGTTGTACTGAAAGCGGTGATTGCTTTGGCTTTTGGGGCCACTCAATAGCTTTTACTTGATTACTGAATTCAATATTCAATGTATTTCATATTTTGTAGTCCAATTTCTGCTTGTCATGTTTGTATAATGATCAAATTATTTTAATGAGCCACTTTGACCTTGTAAACCACTTTGAATTGCTTTATGCAAGAATGGTGCTTTACAGTCAGACTCCTCTTGTCCTGTAGATGAGCTCTTTTTTATGTGGCCTTGTTCTCAAAAACATGCTATAAAGTGACCTTATTCTTGGATTATAAACTTTTAAGATACCAGATTGAATCTTAAATCACAAGTCGCTTGTATCTTTGAAAAGTGAAGACCGCTTAATCAAAAGGCTGCATGCTTCGCTTTTAATTTCCTTGAGGGAACCTTCCCAAAAGGATAAATAAAATTGTATCTAATCTAATCTAATCAAATGTTTGGCTGGTTCTTAAAATACTATTTGATGAAGTGACCCAGTAACCCCAATAAACAGCCCCACTAACCTACTCTAAGGTACTGTTTTAATGGAGCCATCTCTAGAGTTGCATTCAACCTAAACAAGAAGTCTTCAAATTTGTGTTATCTACTGTTAATCTTTAATCTCTGCCTCTGAATATTTCTTAAAGTTCAGGTTCACCTTGATCTGTCTTTGACCCAGCACCTTTTTGGCTGCAATCCAGGCACTCCCTGCAGCACTATAACCGGCAGAGGGCGCTACCAGCCCGTTCAATTTCCCTCTTCCTCCTCCTCCTCTTTTACACAGCCAAGGAGAGCACCTTCATCCAACTGCGGTACCCATTTCACTCCTTTAATTACTTCCTTCCTGTTGTTAATTGGTGCCAATCCGTCCAACCCGCAAAACCGAACAATATTACACGGTCAGTACATAGAACAGGAACGCTTAAGACAACTATAAGTGTTTGCATGAACCCAAAATACTGCATTTACTCACTACTTGTCGAATTCACCTGTTCCTGCAGCCAATTTGCTGCAGACAGATCGAGGTAAGCTGCTGCACCTGTCAGCCATTTCGATGTTTTACTCTGAAATTGCTGCAAAATTTGACCCAACCTGGCAACAAGCATCATTTTGCAATTCTGCAAAAGGTAGTGCGTAGTTTGTATGAATAAGCAAGTGAAATACTCGACTTTTACGCTATAAATATCCACAAATCGATGAACTCTTTACAAGGAAAATCTGTAGAGAGGATTGGAAGTGAATGTGACACAGTTTGGGGTGTTTCTGAGGTTTCAGGCGTGGTTGTAGTAAACGAAACCAACGCATATTATCTTCTACTACTACTTGCATTAGTATTTCTTGCATGCCTCCCGTCAATGAGCGCTCTACTCTACTATGACCCCTCCCACTTCTCCGTAGCCGAAGAAGAGGACCTTACCGAGAGAAAACCCCATTTAATGACAGTTTATACTCATGAAAGCGTGTATTTCTCGATAAAATCGTCACTAATAGCGTTAAGATAGTATTCTGGTTGATAAAAGTAGGAATTCGAGATGTTTTATTTGATCTTTTCAATACCGGCGAGTGTTTCGCGGGAAAACTCGCGGATGGATACAGCAGAGGAGTCGCGGAGGGGGAGGGAGTGATGCGGCTTTTTATTGCAGCTTGCAGAGCGCTCAGCTGTGATTCTCACGCTGCTGATGACAGACTGAGTGTCGTCCTCACCGGCTCGCCCGTGCAGCCTTTCAACCCTCCATGCATGCTTCACACAGCCGCACTGAAACGAACCGCAACACCCCCGTGGAAGGATTTAATGTTTCTTTCGTGTTGGACTAAGTTTCCTGCCCTTTTTTGCGCATTTTGGGTCGATTTCGCCCTGCTTTCCTCTGACGACTGTTTATGTTTGAAAAGGTAAGGGAGGGAGTGGGTTTCAGGAGATTGCGCATCACCTTTTTCCACATTTAGTGAAGGTGGGAAAGTGTGTTAGAGTATCTTTGAGAGGAGTTGAGTGAAGGTGGGGTTTTCCCTCATGTATTTGAGCACCTGCTGCTGCAGCGCTTGTGCATGCATGCAAGGCGTGCACACCGAGCTGATGTTTTGGAGTGACCATGTGATGTAGTTTACACATAGGGTCAGAGTTGCTACGAGCTTGCAGACATCTAGAATCTAATTTCTCTATATTTCCTCACTCAGCTTCGCATTAAGGACACACACAGCAGAGACACCATGCCGCTAAATTCAAGTTTGGCGAGTAAAAACTATGACTACGACTACGATTCTCTCCAACCGTATTTCTACTACGATAACGAGGAGGAGGATTTCTACCCTCAGCAGCTTCAGCCTCCGGCACCGAGCGAAGACATCTGGAAGAAATTCGAGTTGCTACCGACCCCTCCCCTCTCCCCGAGCCGCCGGCCGTCCCTGTCAAGCCTCTTCCCCTCCACGGCGGATCAGCTGGAGATGGTGACCGAGTTCCTAGGCGACGACGCGGTCAACCAGAGCATAATCTGCGACGCCGACTACTCCCAGACCTTCCTCAAGTCCATCATCATCCAGGACTGCATGTGGAGTGGGTTCTCCGCCGCGGCAAAGCTCGAGAAGGTGGTCTCGGAGAGGCTCGCCACCTTGAACGCTGCGCGTAAAGGGTCTGCTGCGGCGCCTGTGGAGTGCGCGGATCCTACCGGTGCGGCAGCGTGGAGGTTAAACAGCAGTTACCTACAGGATCTGAACACATCCGTGGCGGAGTGCATCGATCCGTCTGTGGTTTTCCCCTACCCTGTGGCAGAGACACCCAAGCAGAGCCCTGCAGGGACGCCGCCTAGTAAGGATTTGGGGCTGGACACGCCACCGAATAGCGGGAGCAGCAGCAGCAGTTGTAGTGACTCAGGTAAGCGTCACACCCCCTTTCTGCAAGTGGGATTTCTCCCTCAATGAGTGCATGAACTGTGTCCTATAAAAGGAGGTCAATTGTTGTTTTAATTCATGAGATTTGCAGGCAGAAGACACGCTGTCATGCTGCTGTGAGATGAGCCAGAGGGCACGGTTGCAGTGCTAACTCATGTGGAAGGAGAGATAGTACTCCATACATGCATGACTGTAACGCTTTTGCTTTCTGTCCTGTGTTGCAGAAGATGATGACGATGAAGAAGAGGAGGAGGAAGAAGAGGAGGAGGACCAGGAAGAGGAGGAGGAGGAGATTGATGTAGTCACGGTGGAGAAGAGGCAGGCAGTGAAGCGGTGTGACCCCAGCCCAACCGAAACCAGGCACCCCAGCCCGCTCGTGCTGAAGAGGTGCCACGTCTCCACTCACCAGCACAACTACGCCGCCCATCCATCCATGAGGCACCATGAGCAGCCGGCTGTCAAGAGGCTGAAGCTGGAGAGTACCAGTAACAGCGGAGGAGGAGGAGGGGGAGGTGGTGGAGGAGTCGGCAGCAGCAGCAGCAGGGTCCTCAAACAGATCAGTAGCAACCGCAAGTGTTCGAGCCCCCGGACGTCCGACACAGAGGACTACGACAAGAGAAGGACTCATAATGTTCTGGAGCGCCAGAGGAGGAACGAGCTCAAGTTGAGCTTCTTCGCGCTCCGGGATGAGATCCCTGAGGTGGCCAACAACGAGAAGGCAGCCAAGGTGGTGATCCTGAAGAAGGCGACAGAGTGCATCTACAGCATGCAGTCAGACGAACAGAGACTCCTCTCAGTCAAAGAGCAGCTGAGGAGGAAAAGTGAACTTTTAAAGCAGAGACTGTCACAGCTGCAGGCCTCTCGTGCTTAAAGTTTGATTCAGAGACGTTTTTCTGCCTTTTGTTTTTTATGCAAGTTCAAGACTTAGGGTGTACAGTTGTTGTTGCATGCAAATGCAAATCGGATTAAGTTGTTTGGAATCTTGTTTGATTTCAATGTTAAAACTGCCTCAATTGAAGTTATGGGTGGATTAAATATTTAAAGTTTATTTTTATTAATAAAATATTAAAATGGGGCAACCTTGTTAAGGGCCCAACTAAAATATAAATTTTTATGTTTTGTATATAATTAATATTTCCTAAGAAAATGTATTTTTGGATCTCAATTGTCTGGATGTTCAGACCCAGTGTTTGTTTTTTTCCATTATGTTCCTAGATTCTTTTTGAAATATAAAAAAATGTTTCTTCTTGAAATTGTGTCCTTGTTCCTTCAATGAACGACCACACCCCACACATCATGGAAGTCTCGCTGTTAGTCGACGCGGTAAGAAGTCCTGGGGGGTCAGTGAGGAGACGAGCCACGTGTGATAGTACAGTCAGAAAAGAGTGACTCAGTCAGGATCAGCTTCCATGGTTGACTGTGTACATACAGAGAATTTAACACCATTAAACTTTGACCTGTATGTACATTAGTAAAGATTACAAAAAAGCCTGTATCAGATATTTAGCAATAATTTTACATTAAAATAGCTAAGATCTGAAAGATGGGTTAAATAGGGACGGATGCAGATGATACTTGAATACATCTTTGTACATGAGGTGGATTTTTCAGTATTTTCATGAAAAATAAGGTGCATTCACTCAGGATTCAGTGTATTAAAGTGTGTAAAAGGAAAAAGACTCAGGGGATTATGTTGAGGAGGGATGATGCAAGGCACTCATCCTCTGATTTAAGGATAAATTTCAAGTACACATAGAGTTGCAATAACAATACAACCTGCAGATGCCAATTATGAAGCCATCTAAGTACATGGTTAAAGAACACAAGGGAAACCTTGAGCATGATTCATAGAAAGTAAGAATGACACTTGGGCACATTGACAGAAAAGGAAAAGCTTCTTATTGTGATTATTCTAGTATGACTGATGCTTAGACTATCGAATAAAACATCTTATAATGGGAGACCCCCTTGACTATTCAAATGCGACATCAATCTGGAAGTCACATTTACAGTTTTCTAGTTTTATCAAAAGGTGACCCCATAACTCCTAAAGCTGCTTGTCTAACAAAAAAAGGATTTTTCACCCAAGAATTAGTCCTGTTTTGGTAGACCCTCTTGACTATTCACATCAATCTAAAAGTCACATTTACATTTTTCTAGTTTTATCAAAAGGTGACCCAATAACTCCTACAGCATCTTGTGTAACAAAAAAGAGATTTTTAGCTCAAGAATTAGTCCTATTTTGCCTTAAATATAGACTAGAGCCACCTTAAAATGTAAGGTTAAGAGCACACTTAGTTTATGAGGTGGTTTTCTTCCTAAAGTTGCTGTTGGAACAGCTTGAAAACATATTCCAGGTAATTTAAAGTAAGTTAAACATACATGAGCAATGAAGGAGATCTGATTCCTGCTTACAAGTTGAACTTATCTTGTGAATAAAGATAAGGATGAAGATTTTGACACAGGAAAAATAAACAAACTGACACATATGTACAGTACAGTGCAGCTCAGATGATTATCTTTGCTAAGCGAAGATGTATTTGATGATTTTCAGTTATAATTTTCATTATAAATCTTTAAAAAAATGGTGTAAATACTAAAATAAATAAATATGGAAATATATAAAAACTAGCCATAAAAGCAGTGTAAATTCACTCCATATAAAGTTCCACATGTGTAAAAACCTCTTCCTCACTTAGTATATCATGATTAATCGAACATTGTTTGTTTAATTCGTGATTTTTCTCCGATTTTTCGACCGGCTTCCCACTCTCGTCATGACGTCACGCGCCGTATCCCGAGCGCTCCCCTGAGCGCGTGGTCCTGGTCGTGAGCACATGGAAGTGAGGTCGAGATTTGTGTCTGTTAGACGCGCGACTGAACATCAGAGAAAAAAGGGATTATAAAGCAGAAAAAGAGCGACAGAAACAACACGAACAGCGCGGTAAGACCTCCTGCTTTTGTCATCTATCGAGAGCTTCTTTGTTTTAAGAGAAATAATTGAATTTCACTGATTAACAGGCCTGTCATTAAGGTGAAGAAGAAGCCCTCTTTCTTTTATGTATCTGCTACAAACTTGGTTTTAAAGAGCAGTAGTCACTGTGAGAATGAAAACGACCTTATAGAGGTTTAATGTGATGTGAATATAAAACGTCTCGGGATACAACCTGTCTAAAACTATTGTTCTCAGGACAAGTGTTATCTGCGTCTGCCTTCTCTTCTATTGTCTGTCCCACTCCACTTCACGCTGCAGAGCTGGAGATGTTTATAACGCGTGTTCTGTTAGTTTGCATGGTTTACTTTGTGCTGTAAACTGAAGCTAACAAAGTAGACTTTCTGAGCCTTTATTCCCCTGAGACCTGAGAGTATAAATGGCTGCTTGAAGCACTGTTTTCCCTCTGCTGTCAGTGTGTTATTTCAATGCTTTGGATCATAACAAAAGATGATGGAAGGCGTCTGTGATAGCATCAGGTAGAGCTTGGGTTCCCTTTCTCAAGCGTGATGTGAAGCTTGTTTATGTGCAGCAAAATAAAGAATATTTCCAGGTTAGACATTTTTTTTTGTTTATTGGTTTGTGGATGTAAATAAAAGCTGCCAGGAAGAAATTTTCAAGCATCATGTCTGAGATATGGGATGACCACAAAAGGTGGGATTATTGTGGATTCATTGTGTGGACTTTCTCCGTGAGCGGGATGGTGTTTGGTGTTAGGGGAAAGTGCGCTGTAAGCATCCGACCAAGGTTCAAAAAACCTTTTATAAAAACAAATTTATCCACTCTGCTGTTTTTTAAAATACCTGAAGGTGCTAAGATGTACTTGATACTAAAGAAGAGTGTCTTTGTTATTCACAGTTTATAGTATCCACTCAATAATGAAACTATTCTAGCAACTAATAGGAATGCACTGATCTGCTTTTTTCACCTCTAATACCGATATAGATATCTACAGTTTAGTATCAGCCCATACTGATCCATTCAGTGCTAAACCTGAAGTTGTACCACTGCCCCTCGGAATGTTTACTGGAGTTTTCTGCGCAGGTGTTGCAAGTGGCCATCGAGCTTATAGGCTGAGGTACTGTGACAAAGTTCAAGGTAGCAAACCCCATCTTGAAAAGAATGTGGGCATTCGCTCAGCGTGTTTATTTGTGGATGCGACTCACGGCACATAGCCTAGAGTTAGACTGAATAGATCAGTCCCTATGCACCAGGCCCATTGTTCCGATACCCGATCTAGAATGTTCTTCAGTATTCAGTGTTCTTCAGGACCGATATCGATATCAAATATCTGATCGGTGCATCCCTAGCAAATAAGTTCCTTAAACATAGTCAAATCTAGATTGTTTCAGTATCAGGTAGAACAACAACAATCCTACAAGTATTTGATGTATGAGTAGGTGGTTAAAGTAGGACAATATTATGGTTATAATGTATTCAATTCACAGACGGAAGTGTCTGTTTATCTCTCAAGATAAAACAGATACACACCCAAAAGGTTATCAACACCAGCCACTTCCTTGGAAGGTTTCCTCAAACACTCATCTAACTGTCTGGAGTAGAAAAAGTCCACAATCTATGAACCTGTGTCCTTAACTGTAACTTAGGTTTGTTATTGTAACCAACTCTTACTATCTTTGTGTTTATAACTTGACATCAACATTAAAGAACACCAAACTTGGGCTGTAGTTGTTTCCTATATCACTTCATTTACACAAAAATTCACTTCAAGGTATTAAAATGGCAGTAATACATTAAAAACATATCCAGGACTCAGGATAATGTTGTCAGTTCTCTATATCGGTCTAATCTAACAGTCTTATGCACACTTATCAGCCAATACATTACATCCACGAGCCAGACGACCACCCTCTTTTCAGGTCAAGATCAAAACAGTCCTGCCCTGACGAGACATTGACTCTCCTACACTCCTGAAGGTGTGCTTTTCTGTTAAACGTCAACAGTGGATCCTTTGGGTCTGGTGAGTTGTGAGGTGTGGCCTCCATGGTTCGGATTGTGTCGTCCAGCACATCCCTCAGATGCTTGCTTGGATTGAGATCTGGGGAGCTTGGAAAGCACGTCAAGATTGTTGAGTCCCTCAAGGCCACTTTGTTTCGTTGCTTCATGTTGTCGCTCTCTGGGGCACTTTTGGTGATGGATGGAGGGTAGGCACGGGACCTGTGACCAAGCTGTCACCACAGAGCCCAGTACAAAACAAACTGAATATCCTGACATCTTTCTATCAAAATCTGCATTCACCGCTTTTAGCATCAGTGAGCTTTGGCTGCCCATGACCTTGTCACTGGTTCATTTTCCTTTCTTGGTCCACTTTTGGTAAAACGGGAACACCTGGCAAGAGCTGCAGTTTTAAAGAGATGCTCTGATCCATTTATTTGGCCTTCATCAAAGTCGCTAACATACTTCCCCTGGTCCATTTTCCTGCCTCTAACAGATCAGCTTCAATCACTAAATGTTCCCACACTGACAGGTGTCAGTGGACGACATAATCAGTGTCATTCATTTCATCTAACAGTGGTCAAAATGTTAAAGCTGATATTGAAAATGGAGGGCTGTAAGTGTGCCTCAGTAGATAATGTCTGCAGAGGCTGAAGTCAATGTTGCAGCAGATGTGGACTCAACTCAGTCCTCAGCCTTTTTGACATGTTTTCCCCTGCTCTCACCTCTGAATGTGTCCTGTTTTCTACAGTGAATAAAAGTAAAATGAGAAAAGACGAATATTATCTTTCAAGCTAAAGGCTCAAAATCGATCAATATAATCAAGATTAAACAATAAACAATATCACCAAAACTGTTACTTTAGTTGAAAATTGACTCTTTTCTGTAAGCGCACTACAATTAAACCCCAAATGAAGGAAGTTAAAAGAGAAAAATGAGAGTTGTTGGATTCATAACGAATAAGTAAGTGCAGCTGAATCAAATAAACCAGCTTTCCCTCAAAGTGTGCACGTGAATCAGTATTTTAAGTATTACATCATCTGACTTTTAGAGACCTCCTCCTCTTTGGAACAGTTTTTGGATTTTTTCAAGATGTCCTCTCATATCTTAGAGAGCCGTGTGTTTTCCAGGCAAACTAGCAGCGAGCCAAACTTGACTGCCTCTCCACATCGGCTGCACACATACTTCTCAGATACGGTAGAGGCCCAGGAATACATGGAGGTCTGCTCTTATGTAATGTGTGTTTTGCAGAGCTGGAAGCTGGAATAGATTAAAGGAGCTCAAACAAATTGAAGTTCAAACTGCAGCCAGTCGCCTGTTTAGACTCTTCTCTCTGGCTGCATCTCAGTTTACAGCATCATTATTATGGAACGACATCACTTTCCTCTTTGGGAATACGCTACCTCATTTGCATGCTCTGTTTTTGTCCCAGTGCTGTCAGCGTGTTTTACACACATGCACAGTGTGTGGCTTCTGTGTCTTTGCAGTGTGAGATAGTTTACCATGATAGTATCAAGGGAGAGGTGTAGTTTGCCCTATATTATTTTTTTAAGGAATACACAGTCAAAGAGATGATTGTGAAGGATTTTTCCAGAAGTTTTAAGCCGTTTTCTGGACATCTGTGTGGAATTAACGTGTAGCTTCAAGCCTGTGTTTGGTGCTTTCCATGGCAACGATTGACTGACATTTGAGACCCAGCAGTTCTCGGAGACACATTGTGAAGTTCCTTGGAGCACCAGTGCCAGCCTGGGAGAGTGTTTAGGTTTCTATTTCTCTTGAAAGGTAGGAGCTGGCGCTGACTAGCTTCTGCTCGGAAATAGACACTGTAGATGCCTCTGCACATCGAGTCCATTGTCACGTCCAAAGTCGTCGATTATGTTTACACACAGAGTCTGATACTTTTTAGGGTTTTATATACTGTGTTTTTCCTATCCGTCAAATACGCTCACCAGTGGATCCAAAGATGGCGTTGTCTGTGGCACATTTTGTTCAGGAAAACTGGTGGTCTTTTATTGTGTGGTTCCACTAGAAGGGTATCAAACTGGACTACTAACATCCTGAAATACACCTGGAAGTGATCAGAATCAGGAGTGGGTGGCCTAGTGTTTTCTTTTTCTTCAATAAGTGACAGAAATAGAAATTCACTCCCACTGCTTTATTTCTGTGCGTGAAATTTCATATCGGTCTAAAAAGCTTCTGTGATGACTTTTTTGAAGTTTGTGAAATGGACCAAAATTCATATTGATGCCTTTATATCATACTGTAATCCAAAGTGGAGAGTCTTGCTAGCATTAGCACTGGCACCTCTTTTACCTCAAAGCAAGTTTGTACTTCCTAAATCTCTATACTTATCCATAAAATGGTTTTAAGTACAGTTAACTCTGTCATATGTCTTAAAAACCACAATCTAATTTAAGCTTATACTGCACACACCCACCTACATAATGCACCCAATATCTATTGTGTTAAAATATTGTAAAGTTTTCATATGAAACAGAAACAGTGTTTGTTCTCGGTCTTCATTCAGTTAGATTGTCCTCGTTTTTCTACCTTGTTAGATAAATTGCACTTAGATCATACAACAAATCAGAGCAAAGACTGCTGGGATGTTTTCACAGACTCGGTCAGTGAAGTTGATTCTTTTTTCAAACCTGCTCTCTAAAGGAATGTAGAGCTACAAACAAGCATATTTTACATTGTTTGTGGATCAGTTCTCTTTTTCATAACCTCACAGTATTGGATTCTGTGATTTAAATAAGTAAGTAGGCTGATACACTGTTTGGCGCCTCAGAGAGGGATCATTTGGAGCTGTGCCGTGGGGCGCTCAGAGCGATGTCTGGCTGTTATGTAACAGTATTGGTCCCTCTAGTGAATGATGTAATTGAATAACCTCACATGCTTTTAGAATACACAATTTGATAAAGAAACATATACTTACACTCCAAACTCCATTTTTTAAACTTGCATTTAGACTTTTTCCCAGATTACGGGTTTAGTTTGACTCCACTGTGTATTACCCTCCTTTTCAGAGATTAGAAGTTCACTTTCACTGCTGCAAACTTTGGGAAATTTTTTCTAACACGCTGATTTTTATTCAACTTTTCAAGCTGATAGTCCATCTGTATTCAGATAGAGCTCTGATGGAAATAGCTGCTGAATACTAAAGCTGGTCAGGCCTCTGTTTCTATTTGCATGCAGGGAACATCGGTGAATGGCAGATCTATATTTTAATAACAATCATCATCAAATCAGGGCGTTACAGGTAGATAAAAGCTGTTTCCTCTACAGGTGTTTACTCTTGTCATGTGTGTGTAAGTCCTCTCAGGAGGCCAAGAAGAGGGCGGGGAAAAGAAGATTCAGGTCACAATGTACAGTAGATACAGGTGTTCAGTGAGGTTAGAATACATTGATATGACACACCCCTTTGAGCTGCGTGTTTACGGCGAGGCTAAGCTAGTGGGTGCATCATTCCCATTAAAGGCATTGCATGTACATTAAAAATAAATTATAACTTGGTCATTTCTAAACTGATTTTCATGTGGTTTACTTTATTTTCAATACCAAAACGTGGTATCAATACAGGACATTTGATTTTTTAAAAAAAGGCTAAATCAAATGGTCTGTTTTAATAGCACATTAGCAAGTTATGATTATTTTCAATGTACATGTAATGCCTTTAATAAGAACATTGCCCCCACTAAGATGGCAGCCACAAGGGCATGTTGCTTAGTGGGCTGCTACAGTGCTGGCATATCTAGTCTTTAATACATATCTGTGGTTAAGTAGAGGATACTGTATAATGAGCAGATACTATTTTGCAAAACCAGCTTCAAGTCAACACTAAGTATTGATTTAGAGGTGATTGTATTGACTTAAAAGTGGTTTATTTATGCCACAAACATAGTGCTAGTGCTCCCATGGCAACTGTATTCTTATCAACCTAATTGTGGGTCAAATTAACATAAAGCTTAACACTTTCATTCACATTAGGTGTAAACATTAGTTATAAATCATACAAAGTCAAGGCTTTTGTTGGCATTGAAGTCTTAACATGGCAGCTCTTGCTATTTAGAATTAATCACCATTGTTTTGGGAGTTGACCAATCAGAATTAAGTATTTAACACTGCTTGGTGATCAGAAAAAAAGCAGGTAATTAACCTAATGTAATATTTTGGTGATTTTACTCCCAGGTTTTCCCTTTTAAATCTTTTTTTTTAGCAGGCAGGTGCAGTCAAAATGTGAAGTTCAAAGAAACAGGCTGTGAGATTAGACTGTTGTTCATAATGAAGAGAGGAACCGGCCAAGGATTCACTAATCTTTGACTGTGCACATTAACATCTCCACCCACAGCAGGGATTACAGGCTGCAGTTTTCAATCAGTCACACTGACGTCTAGCCTTGAGTTGTTCCATTCAAGTGAATGAAACTGACGTCATCTGACCTTCTCTGCATCCAGACAGGATCTAGTGTCCTGGTGCTTCAAAACATTTCCGCTTTTATTGAACTGATAACAATATTTAAAACTGCTCTCAAGGGAACAGAACCAAATCAACACAAGCTTTTCTCTTGAGGTTGTATTTATTTTAAGGTTTTTAGTCCTATTTGTTTTCAGCATGTTTTCTCAGGTGAGGCGTAGTAAGTTGCCTTGGCATTTACTTAAACAAATGAAGCAGCTCATTCAAAGGTTTACACCCTGAAATGACTCCAGATGTTGTTCAAAATCAGTATCCTTCCTTTGAACTTAATTTAAGAGTTACTTTATCTCTTACTTCCCCAAACCCACATGATTTTCATTAGTTTTCCTTCAAATATTCTTCAAATTTGCACATTTTCCTCTGCACATGTGACGTATGATCCTTCCTCCTTCTTTCAGAGCTCCATTGAATTCTTGTCACACGTTTTAAGGGTATAAATTCCCCCCTTTTGATGATTGAATGTGACGAATGAAAATAGTGCTTGATGCATGATTTTATCTGTTAATAGATTTTCATAGAATTCATCCCGTAACATCTTTCTCTCTTCCTTACGTCATCAAGAAGAGTCAGCTGCTGACAGTTGCCCAGTGAGTCAAAACATGACGCTTGGTGTACTAATGACTGTTTATACTGAAACACTATCCTCTGGCCATTTTGTTTTGATATCCTGTTATACCGACTGATGTATTATGAAAGTTGAAAAGTACTTCTGGTGTGAGCAGTTTGTTTGATTTTAGTCTAAAAGCAAAAGTTGCAGCTGATTCTTTGGTGGCGGGAGGGGGCAGGTCTTCTGAAAGTATGGTGTTTATGTTATTGTAATGCACCTATCGAACTTAAGCATGTTACCATAGCTTTAAGTAGGGCTGGGGGATAAAATGATAACTATATATATCGAAAATTAATTTCCCTCAATATCAATATAAAACATGGTCAATACGCCTTTCAATAGCCACCATTCTGCCATGTTTTGGTAGACTATATGAATAGCCAATGAAAAGGGGAGTTTCTCCGGGTCCACTTCGAGCTGAACCAATCATGTGCTGAATTAGCACCAAGTAGCAAACAACTGCATAGTAGCAGGCTGCAGCTACACGCAACCATAGAACTTCAACAGGGCTACACCTTCCGAAAGAAGGTCAAAGAGACACAAAGACCTCACAGATGCTGTCGCTTATTGTAATGCAAAAGACATGCTACCATAAGCACTGCAAAATTTCAATTTTATATCGTGATGTCTATATCAACTGATATGAAAAAAATTATTGTGCTAAACTTTTTGCCATATCGCCCAGCCCTAGCTACAAGGGATGGGAATTACAGGATAAGTTACATGATGATGTATGATGTGGCTGGTGATTATGATAAAAATAATGGTAAAATATGATGATTCTATATTTCAGACCTCCATCTCAGGTTATGCTTCACGTTTACTATCGTTGCCATGGTTGCATTCGGTGTGCGTCCTTCTTTGGTCAACCTGCTGTCCAATTGGACATAAGGTTGTTCCACGTGAAAATGGACAGAGCGCATGAGTGCCTGTTTTTGGGAAGCCTCCCACACATAAGGACTTTTTATTGTAAATATTGAACACATTTAATATTTACGATTTCAAGTTTGTGAGGAAGAAAAATCCCTCTTATTGCACCACTGGACAAGATGTTCCTGAGAGAGATCCAGTAATCACGCCTTTGCTGACCTTTTTCGGAAGGGGGTATTTTGGCCCTAAATTGGCGTGTTATCTGTGTAGGTTCTCATTCATCCAGGTCATGGTTATCCAAGAACAAAGGAAGCCTTTTAGAAGAGAGGAGAAATGTCTTTGAGAACCCCAAACAAGTCCAGTTGCCCTTTCAACTAAGAATTGGCTGAATTGGCGTGATTACCTTCTGGTGTGTACTTTGCTTGAGGTACAGTGTTGAAGTCAAATTGGAGGGGAAATTGTGGTTTTTTTCTAACCAAAGAGTAACCTTTCCTTTAGAGCTTGCCAAGTATTTTTGGTGCCTAACTCTATCCGTACATTTTTTTCACAAAACAAAATTAAAAATGTGGCTATTCTAAAACTTTATTCTGAATGTCAGCAGGCGAATCTTTCAAAGTCTTGTTGTTGCTTTTTTATATTGGCTACATGTGAGGAGAATGTCATATTTTGAAGGCTTGTGCTACTGACTGAGCTGCTGTCTTGGATAATTTGATAGTGAGAGTGTGCTGCCAAAAGACTGACTGCTGTAAACACCCAGTAGTTCTGATTTTAGTGGCATCAATCACCAGAGGAAACGCGATCCTCCGCTGCTGTCAAACAGTTTAGGAGGTAGACGTTGGCACGAACATATATACACTGTCATGTCATGGAGGGCAGCATGAAGGAGAAGGCAAGGCCCTGCTCTACTTCCCAGGTTCCCCGGCTGAGATGAGTCACTCTTTGCAAACAATGTGTTTGATTTTACTGTCAGTTCACCTCAGGCGTGGAGTGGAGAGAACAGACACAAACAGTTTGACTGACCTACATACTCTGTTTACGTGTCCCGCTGCCGAGCGAGCGAGTGAGTGGAAGGACTTAAGTTTGAATGGAAACAAACCCACACATTTAATAAGCATGTTTCAAAAATCCATTGTGGAGCTGACAGAGCAGAGGAGGAGCGCAAGACGGATACACACCTTTTTGTCAGTGAGCGGCGGTGAAAGGTAAAGCCCACATGAGTTCGGTGATGCTGATGCATGCCAGCTCAGTGCAAATAGGATGACTAATCTGACATGTGGCACCAGTACTGCAACATAAACCCTCTTCTCACATTGAAACGTTGGTAGCTTTCTGGCATCCAAACAAAGGATCTGTAATGGCTTTTTCCCACTGGTTTCCAATATGGGCTGAATCTGAGAGGTCAGGAGATGATTAGCAGGACAGAAAATAAGAGAAATTACACTCTGCCAAACCAAATTATGATGATTTTTTAATCTCTGCTTTTCTGTGAAAAAAACAAAGCACATTACTCCTGTTTTAGACTAAAATTATTGTTCTTATTTGACAGATTTATAAATGGAAAACTGCTCTCAACTTAACACAACTACATGTTTGTTTATTTTTGGCTGAGGCAGTGACCATCATTGGCATAGAGGACATCCAATCCTTTATAATCTCCCTATAATTAATTAGCCATAAATCCAAAGAGGTCTGGTGTTGGTGCTCTCTGTTGTTTTCCTAGTTGCAGCTCAGATTTCCTCTGTCTCCGTGATGGTATATAGACTAAACTTCATGCTACAGGACCTGTAAACATCCACATACGTGTATAATCAGTGTTGTCAGATTTTGCAGCATTACAGCAAAATTCGAGCCATGTTTTCGCTGTATGATCCCGTCTCTTTTTCTCCGAGACCTCCTGTGAGATGAATTTGGAAGCTGGGTGCCAGCCAATCACGTAGGTGGGATTTAGAATTATCTTCCTGTGCCAGAGCAGAGGAAATTGTTGACACATAAAATTGCCACAAAAACAGAAACAAGAGGGGGAGATTGGCAGCTGTACAGGTTTTTGATAGTCAACTTAGAGAGATTACAACTGTTAGAAAAGCTGTACTTTCTATGCTATGTCTGAAAACATTATGTTGTTTTGGGTTGGCTGTCTGTCCCTGCAGCTCGTGTCAGCATGCAGAGCATCTTATTTACTCCTGGAGGGAGTTCTTGTGTCTGTAAGTTTGGCACAAACATCCGCTTGAATTTAAGTATGGATCGGTCAAATTTTGGTGGTCAAAGGTCAACAGCCAAAATTCGTTATTTTGGGGCTTTGAAGCAAGATATTCATAGATTTTTGTGGCACATTTTCAACCAAATAACTTAATAAAGGTCCACGTCCAAGCCTCTCAAGATAAAAGACTCTGGGCACAGCATGTGGACATAACACAACAGACCCTCAGTCGTCTGGATCATAGCTTTGAAAATGGTTTGTCTGTTGGTTCTCATGACATTACTGATCCAGAGCAATGATGTGTCTAAAAGCACTAAAATCAGCGAGTTCACCCTCTTATTTTTAGGAACAGTGAACTGAACTGTTTAATTCAAAACTCATAAATGCACACATGAGCCCACTCTGATGACGGTCAATGGCTGCTCACATTTAGGGAAAATCTGAGAGGTCCCATGAGGTGCTGGAATTGACTAAACATTTGATGTTACAACAGCTGGAGTCAGATTTAGCGTACCCCAGCATATGTCGAACTATAAATCTAATTTAGGATGCAGATTTTTAAAATACTAGATGTTCAAGTTGGAAGCTAAATTCTGCAATATATAGCTGATTTTTTTTCCTATGTACACTTTGTTAAACATACTCAAATTTAATTGGCTTTTAAATTCAGTATGTTTGATTTCATAGCAGAATGCAGTGGTTTATGTAGTTTAAAGCTCCTGTGATGAACTTTCAGCTTGTGTTAATTTAGGCACCCTCAGTGGACCAAGTAGTCTTTGCTTATCTTATCCTTTGTCTTTGTCTAATTTACTTTTTATAAAATAAAAAAATAAAAAATCATAAAAAGGCATTTATATGAATCTCAGTCAAGAAAAAAAAAAATCCTCACAGGAGCTTTAAGCGAATATTAATAATTAAAGGCTGGGGGTTGGCGCATAAGAGGCTCTACTGAAATAAATAAGCGCAGCTAAAGAAGATAATCATGAGCTGGGTTATTTTATGGACTTTGAGCTTTGTTGAAAATGTAAAAGGATGAACTTTGTGAACTAGTTCCTTTTGATCTGTGTGAAATGAACTTTGAGCGAGGCTAGTTTTTGTGTGAACTTGCACCACACTCAGGGCTCGACAGCACATCTGTTTCAGCACATCCGCATTTGGGACTAAAAATAGATGTGTGCGAATTGTAAAATGTATTTAGGGGCACCTGTGCGCGTAAAAAAAAATTTTGCCAAGGCAACAATATTTCCTATAAATACCGTGGCGAAGTTAGTTTTAGGTTGGATAAGGACATTCACTGTGGATCTGCTGGTGTCTTAGCACTCTTCGTAACCGGGAATAGCAACAGTAGCTTGGTTAAATCTACACTTGCTAAAACATCGGGTGTTGAATAAGGGACTGTCAATAAATTAGCGGTTGATGTTCTCAAAAAGGCTGTTTTCCTTCATTACTTTCCATGTCATGTGACCAATTGCTCAAAAATTGATTGTAAATAACAGCAATAAGGTCAGACGATAAGACACACCTCTTTATTTCCCTAATTTGTCCTCTAAAAAAATTTGTGTTAAATTTAAAGGCAAATTTTGATCAATTTTCAGTGTGTCCCTAAAGTTCTTTGTGTGCTCCTTACTTTTTCAACTTAGGAGCACATGTGGCCCTTGTGAAAAAAGTTAGTGTCAAGCCCTGACACTGAACCAGGGTATCACAGATCAGACTTTAAAAGTCACATTCAGTAATCTTTTCAGATACACCTTCTTATATTTTTTTTGATGCACGTTTTTTCAGCATTTTCAGAGTCAGTGCTGGTTCTTCTTTTCCTTTGACTGCTCACTAATTCATCACTATTCATAAGACACAGAGATGCAGACGGTACAACACAGGATCACATGTTACCAGCGGAGCTCACAGTGCAGTTTAATGATCATTAAAGCAATGTTAATGAAATATTAAAGCCATCTTGTCAGTGCAGACTCTCTCCATCAGCCGCCCGTCAGGGGTTAGAGGTCAGGCTGTCTGGCAGAATTCATCAGGCTGATTAAAAGTACCTGCAGAAGGTTAACGCAGCCGGGGGGCCTCCACAGCCTGGTTACAGCTTATTTTATGAAGTAGGAACAGCTTCCTCACCTTTCCTTTGTTGCATCCTCCTCTTGTGTCATGCGAAGCAGCTGGTGAAAAGAAAGTGTGAAGGCATTTGCCGCTGTAGCACGCCGTGTTTAGGTGTCACAGGACGTCCCCTGACACCTAAATACAGCCGCGTCCTCGCTCAGACAGCCTTGAGTTGTCACTCAGGAGCTCCAGCTGTCTGTCTGGAGAGATGATTTGTGGCGCAACACATCAGACTGAGTAATTTATCTTCTCAGGACGGGGAAATATCCATGGAAACAGGTTAGAGTACGGTTAGATATGGAGGTTTGTGAGGTTTTTGCAACATTTAAAGGTTTCCCCTCTGGTAAAATCAGTAGATTGGTTTGATTTTGAGGCGTTTAAAAGTGCATTCACACTTCACTGAGCTCAGCTTTCTTTTTTCCTTATTGAGGAGCTTTAAGCAGACTGATCCTGCTCTCTTTTGATGTGCTGACTGTCTGTCCCAGGGGGGTTTTGATTGCCTCTTTACTCCCCTCCCTATGTAAGTCAATAGGAGCTAGCCTGCCATCTGTGGGAATTGATACCTCTGCTGAATCATACTATTAAAAAGCTCCTCCATCTTTCCTTTCCTGTGTCTCTGCTGCCGCCTGCACCCTCTCACCCCTCCCCCTCCCCCTCCCCTCCCCTCCTTTCCTTCTCCCCCCCCTCTCTGAACTCAGGCTGAGGGGTCTTATCTTACTGCCAGAGATGCAGAGATGTGTTTGCCAATTGGGGCTAAGGCCGTGTTCAGACTGAAAATAGCTGTGCATGACTGCATTGCTGCGAGAAGATGGCATATGAACATTGGGGTCCATTTTTAATAAGATGAGTGAGTAAGCAGGACTCTCTGCAGAGGGTACAAGACATGTGACTCTGCAGGATGGTCCAAGTCTGTCTCAGTTTAGTGTATCTGTCATTTTCTTTAATACCTGGACCCAGAACTGAGGGGGACATTTTTACTTATCTATTTTTTTAACCTCCCTGAGTCTGTGTTTGTTAGATTTTTGAGATTTTTGTAATTTTAATCTGATTTTACAATCTGAAATAGATAAGTACTACAATGTCCGTGTCAGCTGTGGCCTCCTCTGAGGACAAAGCAGTCTTTGCTTTTCTTGTCCTCTGCAGTAACATCTAAAAAATCTCATTAAAGAGACAGATGCATCAGTGTGAGAAACACCAGGCTTTGTTTGATCTGTAAATTATGAAAAGCTATTAAAGAGGTATAAGAAGGAAGTATAGAGTCTGAAAAAAAGCATAATACTCTCTCTTTGAGGTCTGGGAGCATTTCACCTGCAGTGCACCAAAGAAAAAAAACTGCCTGCTCTGTTAAACGCATCAGTAGACTGCATAGACAGTATAAAACATGAGCATAGCCTCAATAAAGAGTTTCAAAGCCTGTTAATGGGGGTTGCTGTGATAGAAATGCTGACTCAATCCAATCTCGAGTTGACCCAGACACATGCAAAGAGGTGGAGATGGGGTGGGCTTCAGCGTTCTCGCCAACAGCTACCTGTCAGTCAAGTCTGCTGTGCACAGAATAGTGTAAAACTGGTTAAGAAATCACCCCTGTATGATGCACGCAAACAAAGAAATGAGCTATTCAGACCAAATATTGCTTGTTGGATCCAGTTGCACCTGAAACAGTTGGTAATGTGCTCTCAAGTAAAAATGTGAGAAAGGTTTCTGCAAATCTATCTGGGATTCAGATATCTACAACAATACTTAAAGACTGATCTTTTTGTTTGTGTTCTTCTTCACAAAGATGTATTTAAAGTAGGGTAGATTCTTTATAAAACCTTGAGTAAGGTGAGTTGAGAGAGAGCTGTTCCTCCAAGTCTCGTGCAGTTGAAGTTGTTTGGTCGCTCAGCACTAAACTCACACCTTGAACAAATGTTTATTTATTGGTGGGATTCTTGGCAGCCCATAAATTACGTCTCCGCTCCTCCTGTGTCACTTATTTTAGTTATTCTTAGAGGACAGTTGTGAAAACATTGATAGCGACAACAGAGGAACAGAAGCCGAAGCCAGCTGACACCTCCAGCCTCTAATGGAGATACAGTGTGAGGAAGAGGAGGGGTGTGTTTGTCACTGCGGGCCCAGCAGGCTCATCCCCGTCCTGATTAATGGAGCTGTCTGCGGGGCCTCGCAGGGAAAGAGCAGGGCTGTTTTCACATTTACCAAAGCCCCCGTTTATTTGCCCACAACAGATGGGCCCCCTGGGGCCCCCGGCTCATTTGCACCTCCCCTACCTTCTGCGCTCTGAATCCTTCATCTTCATCAGTGAGCAGGTTTCTGAGCACAGCCACCTGACCCACAGGTGACCTCTGCGACCGTCCACCTTCACAAAGTTAGCAGGTACTCCGAAAAGGAGGTTCATCACTCTTCATGTACACTCTCTGCAGGAGTCACTTTCTCCAAGTGTGTTGTGTTGTGATGTTTCATGAGTGTTTATGTGGAGACTATTTTACTGCAGTACTTCTGTGTTTCCACCCCTCCAGTGTTGAATGTTGGAGAGAGAAAGAATACTGTAATATTTTATTTATGTTCACCCTGAATTTGGGCAAATATGCGGACTGTGGAATGTTAAGGTATTGTCAGGATTCGCGAACAAGTTAAAATTCGTCTTATTTTTGCTGTTTTCCTGGAATAAAGAGACTAAATTCAAGCTCAAGTTAAAGTTACTGATTTACTGCTTACTTTATTTACAACTGTCTGATCTTTACTGTTGCTTTTAATGCAAAAAATGTTGAATTTTTTTCTGGTTCCAGCTTGATAGATTTTAAGCTATTCTCTTTTGAGTGGTCCTTGAACTTTCATGGCTAAATGTGCAATTCAAAGTTACTCTGACTTTCAGAACTTTTGATAATTTCTAATATTTTGTAGAATAAAATAAAAATATGTATAAAAAAAAAACAAGATAAAAATGATCTGAGAATAAAAGAAATTAAAAAATAAGATGTACCCATTTGGATACTGGAAGCTATTTGAACACAGATGTTACACTTGACTTAAAGATCCATTAAATGTTATTTTCGATTCTTTTGAGCTAGTCCAGGCAGGGAACTTGAGCTAAATCATTTCACCTTAGCTGTTCATCATTCTCACAATCACCTGATAAAGTACCCTCCCGATAAGGTGATTTATTTAAGCTGTAAGATTTCTGTAAGAAGTGCTTTACTCAAACGTAGTCCTACCACCTTCCCAGCAAAGCGAGATAAGATTTGAAGCCTAGATGCCAAAAACATAAACAATATTCTGCTGCTGCAATAAAGTTTTTATCAGTATAGCGCAGTCATTCTGTCATTTTCCATCAGAATTTCATGATTTGGCATTTGTAAGTTGTCAACGTTGGCTCTTAATAATTGGAAGTTATCCAAGTCTTTATGAACTACAATAAAACTATGAATACAGAATGTAATCAGCAGAATGAACCAGAATAAGAATAACCACTTTAACCAACATCTTTAAAATCCTGCTCTCACCTAAATACATGTCAGTAACCTTATACTCAAATGCATACAGTAACGGCACATTTTCCACACTCGACTCTTTAAATCTGAATATGTCAGGTACATTGTATTCATGATGCTGGGTCATTATAATGTGCTCACTCTGCAGAGTGTGTAGTAGAATATTTTGACAGTGTGGTAGCTGTACTTTTACTCCAGTCAAGGATATTTATACTTCCCACACCACTTTTGAAATAATATGTTTAATCCAGTGACTGACACCCCCCCAGAGGATTAAATTTCAGGAGCATCTCAGACAGAAACAGCTTAGGATCAAGAATTTCTTCCTGGTATATGAGTAGCATGTCAGTGATCCAAACACTGTAAAAGTAGGAGTAAAACAGCCAATTAAACATTTTCTGCTTTTAGCCACACTGTTTTTCTGTGCCAGGATTTCTTCCTCATCCGAATAAAACCATGCACTTGTTCTCGTAAATCTAATCTGCCAAATGAGACAAATGTAGCACCAGACTGAAAAAAAAAATCAGAAAAAAAAAAGCCTCGTCCCAGAAGCGTCTGTGCTCTGCCATGTCTCCCGAGCTTTTCATTCACACAGCAGATTGTCTTTGTTTGTCTGAAACACTCATGATGAATTCTACATTGTAGATGAAGAAGACAGTTTGAAGACTCTCTGTTAATTGTCACAAATGGGATCCTTTTGTTTAAGCCTCAGATTTGGGGGAGAATTGAACATGTCTTATCCTCCTCTCTCCTCGGCGGTGACATTGGACATTGTTTCCTCTTCCTGCTGATGGCTGTTGTTCTTTTCAGTATCAGGCCGCAGCAGCAGCAGGACGACACTGTTTCAGTTGCTGCTGATTCACCACAGATTAGATTGTGTCCCCCGAGCATGAGATTGCATGGTTTCACTCTGTAACATTACCCATATGCTATAGACTATCATGCGTATTATACATGGCTGTTTTGACCACTGACTGTAAAGACACAACTCTTTGATGTCTCCTCACTGGTCTATACATTCATACTCAGCCGTGTCCAAAGCATTCGCACCAGATTTAGCAAAACCCCGACTTCAGATCACATTTAGCAAAAGCCTCCTGATTATTCCCCTCAAAGTTGAACTGTGACTGACCCAGGCACTTTTTCTACTTAGCAGGGAGTGAAACAGATGCTCCATTTGGGAGAATTAGCTAGATCTCCAAATGTAAACTGATTAAGGATTAAGAATAAGAGAGTGGAGTCAATCCTGCTCTCACAGCTCTTTTTCCCTTCACGGCTCACTTGCCTCTTTTTTTTTTTCTTTTCACTCCCGCCTCTCCTCTTTTCTGCAGAGCACGGCTCTGGTATGTCCAAAAAATTGTCTTTGGACTCCGTTTTGGCTCAACACGGGTTTAAACAGCCAGGAGATGTAGTTTAAAATGGTCGCAGTGGTTGTTTGGGTGCATGACTAAAGAAGGAAGCAGCTTAAAGTCTTAGACTTAACAGTTTTTCACACCTCAAGTACAACCTTTTGGCATTGACCAAATACAGGATTAATTGATTTAGTTAGCTAGCAAATTAGCCAAGGACTATCTCCTTGTGTTCTTCTAAAACCTTTGTTTTTTTTAAAGGTTTTTGCCAGTTTGGTTTGAAACAAGCCATCTTAAGGTGGGAATTACACAGCCATGACATTAAGACTAATGCCGGCTCTCCCCAGGTTTAAACTGGCACAACACAGCTGATGATTTGAATACAAGACGCATCCTGCTATGTGTCTGTGAGGGCCAAGTGACATCCTCTGAGAATGAAAAATGTGAGGTACTAGGACTGGGTGATTATATGATCATGATTGATGATCGTGATAAATTTCAGTTCGACCACAGTGATCAGCTGTGTTTTTTTACTCGATCAAACATAGTGGAACTGTGCGTCACAACAGCCAATCAGAGTCAAGCTTTTCCTGCTCACTTCTGTAAGTTGTCGGAGAAGTAAATACCGAACGTGCAGCGTGGATCGGACAATATGACAAAATATATTGTGATCTTTTTTTTCTTTTTTTGCCAAATCGCCCAGGCCTGTGAGGTATCCAAAACTGCAGTTCATCAAATGGCCACTGGGAGCTGGAACCAAAAGTGAGACATTTCCTATAGAGGCCCATCTGAAAATGCACAGATTTACTGGAGTGTCAAACATGTTTACTGCCTATTATTAAAAAAACAAAGCTGATAAAACAAAGTTATAGTAAAACTGTTTTATCAGTTTAGCAGAAATCTCTTTTGATATTTTAATGAGTTACTTCTAGTGGACTGGGCTTCTAGTCGTTCCTCCTGATCTGGATAAATCAGTTTAGTTGGCTGAGAAGGGACAGATGGCAACCCTAACTATACCAATGAGCAACAACAGCTATCTGCTTTGGTAACACACCATACCAAGCTTAACTGTTTCACATTTTGCTTTATAATGCACATTTACAGCCGTGTTTTTTCACTTTTAGAATAAGGGCTTTATTACTTTTTATCAGGTAACAACTTTTAAGGTTTTTTTTTAATCAGTGTAAGTAAAGTGGTGTTAAAGTAAACCTCCTTTGGTCTTGGAAGTAGAGATAGATAAAACCAGCCCTAACATGCCTCTGTACATGTAACTCTTTTGTGATGCTGAATGGATTGCTTCCAGCTGATCAGATAGCTCATCGTGTCTGTCTGCGATCCTTCACATGGTAAACCAGCCAATCTCCGTCTAATCTCTTTGGGCCTGAGCCAACTCTAAACGCACAGATCGCCTCTTTTCACAGAGACGGCAGCGTCAGCAGGGCTGTGCTGCTCCTCTGAGCCCCCCGAGCAGACCCCAGGGTCACTGTCTCCCATGCCCTGAAAAGGAGGTTGAACCTGTGGGACCTGGCCTGGAAAGTGTCCTGGTACTCATCAGCTGTTGGAGGTGTTTTGTCTACAAGTTTTTCTTTTTTTCATTCATTTACTTTAGTGTGAGCGCGCCTGTAACATTAAACAAGCAAGGGGCTGATGTGTAAATATTTAGCCTTGCATGTTTGAGCCAGTTCAAAGGCGGCAGGAGAAATGAACGCTCTTACCTCTGCTCTAGATAAAAGACACTGATTTAAACACACTTAAAGAAACTTCACATGCTTTTATTGTGAAGGGATTCATCAGAAACCTGCTGTTAATGTAGGACTATAAGCTTCCAGTTTCATCTCTCCCACCAGATTTATGTGCCTCAAATTCAGACTCCTGTGTCCTAAAAAGCTGGGCTAGTTATTGGTTGTTCCTCGAAATGAAAGGCATGTTGGAGCCTGTTTGAGGACAAGGTACTAGTCTGGATGCAGGGTGAAAAGTCATGGTATGAGAGGTCACTTTAGGCACGAGCTTAGCTCTTGTAAAACACAGACTGATGTCTAGACAGTCCGGTCAGAAAGATCATGACCTTTTTTTGAGGGACTGTGTGGGAAGAACGGCTCATGTGACATGGTTTAACCTCCTCATTTCGACATATTTAATGCTTACTTCGCATCATGTTTCATTGTTTTTCCATGATGTTTTACAAAGAAGTGTCCACATACCCAGATATTGATCAATGACTAAGACTTTTCATCATGTGGGAGCTAATTTCCTCTGTATTACAATGTTATCTTCACAGCACATGCCAAGAGTGTTTCTCCTCCTTCCTCTGCATGTACAGCCTCAATGGCTGCCCTGAAGGCACAAGAAGTACAAGAAATACCTTGTGACATTTAAATAAATCTGATATATGTTCATTATCTCAGGCATCAGATAGTTCACTGTTGGGTCAACCACATAAACTGACATCATGGAAAATGTCAAAGCTGTCAAAGAAGGAAGAGGTTAACTTCAAAAGACTCAGATATTTCTCACATTTATTCATTGAACCCTCTTTTCCTTGAAATGTGAGATCTCCTCCTCTATGAATAAGAAGTGAAAGTTTGCAGGATTTCTTTTCCTTTCAAGGAAGAGTAGTGACCTAAGATGTGGGAAAACCCACATTAAAATTCTTTCCTGATTTTCTGAGGATGATAATGGTGTCGTTCTTACAGCAGGAAATAAACGCGCTCTGTCACAGTGCCAATGAGAGGCCTGGTTGTTCATTAATTGGATTTGTGGGATGTTTCTTAATGACTGGAAGTGAAGATGAAAGCAGAATAAACAGGGTGAAATTCCACGCATGCCGCTGAGAACAGTAAAAGCTGTGCATAGGAATCATCTGCCTTTTTAAAACTACTCTGACTGTGTCATTTAACAATTTCACACAAATGTACTCATTTCCTGAGGAAGTCATTACAGCAGTGCACACTGAGGACGGTGTCTGTGGTTTATCAAATTACATTAAGACCCAACATGACCCCTAAAAAAGCTGAAGTGTGTATTTTTTGTTTTAAGAAAGTTTTCTCTCTTACTTCGTAAAGTTACTGTACTTAGCTTGAACTTTTGCACTTCCATTGACCTCCAACTACCAACAATTATTTTAATTTTTTATCAATCTTCTTGCCATGTCACACTAAAACGTTTAGTGGTATATAAATAGAAATTAAATAAAATGTGAAAAACTCATAATTGAATTTGTTAGCCTCAAACGACCTCTTCTATATGAAACAGGATGTGATATGATACAACAGGACATGGTACTGTGTGAACTATACAATGCCAAATCATTCTGATATCAGATTTTCACCTCATGATTATCGTAGCCATCAAATACCAGGATGACTTTAACATCACTGTATTTATAAAAAGATGAAATTCAAAACAGCACAGAAGTAGAACTAAAAAAAAGGAAGACAAGTAGAGCAACCTATAAGAAATGTTTATCAGGAGTACAAGTCCACTTTCATGTTGTCATCCATTTCTGATCATGGTCAAATTTATGATTTATTTCCATAAATAACTGAAACTTCATTAAAAAGACAATATCTCATTAAATGATTGATTGTCCTGCTTTAAAGAGATAAACCGGCATGAAATTAATGTAGGGTCAAACACACTGTAACACCGAGTTAGACACCCCCTCGAGAGATGGATGTTGCTGACCGCTTGTTTCTCTAGTCACTTCACTTTAGTCACGACCGCACGATAGCAATACACAGCGGTCTGAGGAGCCATAAACAAACCTCAAACAAAATGCCACTCTATAGACACAAATAATGTTCAGAACAGCACCTAACTTCATCAACAGTACATAGATAACTTTGCCTAATTTCTTTAGCAAAGAGACTAAACTCAACTCACCTACTCTCCTCCAGCAGCCGCTTGTTTGTAGCAAGACCTGGGGCCAGGCCATTATGGACTACAGTGGGGGGACGCAGCTTAAGGAAGAACATTTATGAATATCCCTTTAATTTGAATATTTTTCAGTCTTGGTTTTAAGCTGTTTTATTTCCTACAATGTCAAAGTACTTTTTTAATTTTTAAAGTATAAGCGTCCTTTAAGATTATCAGTTTCAATGCTGAATGACACCAGTTAAAAGTACAGTTAGTTCTTTACTTAGAAAGTGCAAATTATCATGTTTTTGTGACCTGAAGTGACACAAGCTCTAACTTATACATATAGATTTACAACATAACAGGAAATTTCTCATTTTAAGATGTGTGGCAACCAGTGGAAAATAACTGTATGATCCATATGATAAGATCTAATATGAAGACATGACCTAACATGATATGTCACACTTCATTGTGTAAATTTTGTCTTCCTTTCCAGTGCTGCAGATTAGTATCAGCCTTCAAAGTGAAAAACAGGAAGACAGACAGCAATCTATGTAAATATGAGGCATGTAAATGTACACAAACAGCATAAGTTGTACTTTAAACTGCCTGAAGCCAAAATAAACACAATAATTAAAAAGGATCATCTCAAACTGGAAGTCTTTAAATCTTCAGCCAAAAAACAACTGATGCTACAACCAGCAAACAATTAAAATATAAGTTTTAAACATTTGAATAAAAAGATAAAAGTTAAACTCAAGATTTAGCCTTAGCACTTGATTAAATGTAATATTCTGTAAACTGTAAGTATAAATATTTCTGCGGATCAATGGTTCTCAGCTTTTTCAGTTCTGTTTCCCTCTCTCTTTTTCTTGTTCACTGTTCTTGGTTTACTTAATGTTGAGGTCAGGTAAGGTCAGAGGATAGGGGAAAACCTTACAGTCCAAATCCAAAGATAATCATGCTGAAAAAACACGAGACGAAGACAATGAGGCGAATTCTCACATTTAAGAAGCTGGTGACATCAAATGTTTGACGTTTTCCTCAACGATGACTCCAACGATTATCTGATAACCAAATAAATTGACCCCATTGTGCCAGTATCTGTAGTTCTCACATGATCCGCACAGCAATACCAACACGTGGGAGTTTCTAGAGGAAGTCGCTTAATTGAGGATGTCCTTCGCCTGGAGGACGAATACTAAATCCATACGCGAGAGGAAGAGACGCCGAGCTGGGGTGGAGCCGTTTACACCAAAAGAAAATCCTTTTAATTCAGCCTAAAACTTGAGGGAATATGAGAGTTTGGGGAATACTGAGTATACATTAAAGAGGCTTCAAATCTGCTAGTGATACCTTTAAGCCACTGGCTGAGTAGTAGCAGGCTTTGTGTGTTTATTGTCATTAATTTGTATGTCTTTTGAGTTCAAGGGCTTACAAGTTTTGTAAGGAACATGTATAACATTTTGGTTCATTATTGAATGACTCAAAATGTTTTAATAAAACTTTAAAATATGAGTTTTGCATTCCTCAGACCAAGCACCGGACTTGAGAGAGCCTTCTCCGCTGCCACCCCCACTCTCTAAAATTCACCCCCCAAACCCATCCGAGACTGTACTGACCCCCACACTTTTAAATCACTCCTAAAAACACACCATTTTGAATTGGCTTTTAATCTGTGAACTGTTTTTTATTGTCTTCTCATATTGTGTCTTTTTAACCTTTTACATCCTTGGTTTATGTCTAAAAACTTTCTGTATTCTTTTTCTTTGTAAAGTGTCTTTTAGCGCCTGTAAAAGCACGTTATAAATAAAATTTATTATTATGATTTATTATAATTTATTATGTGCAGAGACAAAGTGAAATGCTCATTGTCTACTGTTTGAATATTTCAGTCTTTCTCTTGTGATGAATGAAATGCTGAATCTGAGGGTCGACCCAAACTTTGAAGAACCCACTCTGTAGTCTGTGATCAGAACTTTTTAATACTCATTAGACCCTCGATGGAGTTTCTCTATAAATTTTATACTGTGGTTTACAATTTAAAGCTTGTTTTCAGAGGTAAAAGCTCTGCTAACTTCAGTTTTCTTGTGTACTTCTGATAAGGAGAAGATATGGATTGCTGTGGGACTTGAGCAAGATTTATGACAGAAAATAAGAGTCATTCATCTCTAGTGCCTCCACACAATTTTACAACCCTGGTCACATTTTCACTTTCACTGGATGCTTCTCATGTGACAGATCTTATATCAAGAGGAAGTTTAAGAAACGGACAAGGAGAGGGTCTACATCCCTCAGCTAGTTTCACTTCAGATCCTGCGGCTGCGGTGTGTGTGTGTGTCAATACTTGTCAGAAAAGTGACAGTGCCGTTCGCCAAAAAATTACTGCCTGAAAATCATTCCAATAAGCCAAGTTTCTGTCAGTCGTCTGTAATTTGTGGACGTTTCATGAAGGACTGTCATTGTTTCAGTCAAGGCCGTTTCAGCATCATAAGTTCTCCGGGCTGAAAGCTCCTGTCTCGCTCCTCTTTGTCCTCGCTCCTTCAGAGAGGGAAGAGGGAGTTAAAAAAAAAAAGCGGGTGTGCATTCATTCTGGAGCTGCACCTGTTGATTGGAGAGTACGTCTTTCCCGTTTTACGTCTTGGATTTACGGCCTTCAGCTGGGGGGCATGGGAGGGGAGAACAAGGAGGGGGCGACCTTTCATTGGGGTTCTTTGGGGGAGCCGTGGCAGCTGTGATGACTTCACTGACTCCTCGTGTAAAAAGACATTGAGGAGGAGGAGGACGCCCCCCGCCTTCGCTCCCTCTCTCTGTACCTTGAACCTGATAGCGGCCTGATTCGACACGCCGCCTTCATCAGCTGTTAGCTTCTATCTGACTGAGGCGACCTTAAAAGACATAAAAAGGCGAATTTATCTCCCCTTATTTGTGTCTTTTCACGCCGCTGAAAGACTGATAGGAAGAGATCGCTAAAAAGTCCCCCCGCGTTTCATATGTGTGGTCTTTGACGGCAGAAAAATGACTTTTTTATGAGACCAGCAGCTGCGTGAAAAGAAACATTAGCAATGCTGACTCAGTACAAAGAGCCGCTAAGAAATCCGTGCCAATCTATCTCTGGTTTGGCAGCGAGAGAAGCGAGTATGAAGAGAAATCTCCGCTTTGTAAATGATGATTTTAGGAAGTGCCCCATTAGCGAGCAGCTCCTTTTCCCCTGCTGGCTTCCCTCTGGAGCAGCTGTCGGTCAGCGTGTCAGTGGGTAAATCTCTCAAACACAGATCGCTAATGAGGCTGGAGCTCTTGAGAACAGCCTGGCCTTGAACGCAGCATCATCCCCTGTGGAGTGATGAGGTCCTCCCTGATATAACACAAGACTTTTAAAGCCTCAGATGTCTAAATTCGGCACCTTTACACCGTTTCTTCCTCTGCTTAATCTACAAGAGTCTGAAGGTCCCATCCTGGTGGTCTTTGAAACTCAGAACAGTCCAGTTCTGACCCTTAACCCTCCTCCAGGGTTATCCTAGCTGCCTGTTAACCCTCCTGTTTGTCAAACCAGTCAAGAGGTTTTCGGGTAATGAGCTTGTCCTCGATGAAAGAGGTTTCGCAGATCGCGGCCCGAGCAGCTGGAGAAGCCGCTGTTGGCGTGAACGCTGCTGCACATTCCTGCTGGGTCACGTTTCACTAAGAGATGTGGAGCAGCTGGAGATGGACGAGTTTAGTAACGGGTGACTCAAAGGGGCTGACGTTGCTTTTTTTTTTTAGCGTGTTGGAAGTTCTCTGCAAACTTAATGTACACCGTGAACCGAGGAAGTGGATTCATGAGGGAGGACTTTTACTGAGGGGCTCTGGAGACCACACTCGTTTAATTTCTGAATACACCTTTTGTTTGATTTTTGCCTCTTAACGTGTAAAAATGCTGCTTCTGCATTTTGTATGTGAGGTTAAAACATTATTACCATTACCCTGCTGTGTTTAATACTTGACTGTGATTGGTCAAAACCTGGTAATTAGTTCTTAATGGCAAAAGTGACGCCTGAGGAAACCTGATTGTACACTTCATATCAAACTAATCTGCAAAAAGGAGACCAACACAGTCACCCCTTTGTAAGTTGACACTGTGGCAAAAACACCAGTTTTCTCAGCAGTCTATTGGTTATCACCAATTTCCTATACTTATCTCATCAGACAGTAAAGATGAAGTGCACTTTATTTACCTTAAAGGGATTTTCCAGGGTAAAATTGAGTCGGGGTAAAACACACCGTAACACCCACTCTCTTCCAGAAGCTGCTTGTTTGTAGCGAGACCTCAGGCCAATTCATTATGGACTACAGTGGGGTGACGCAGCTCAAAGAAGAACATTTATGATCATTAAATGATCATAAATGCTCTTCCTTGAGCTGCGTCCCCCCGCAGCAGTTGATGGACTCACCCGGAGGTCTCCGTACAAACAAGTGGGTGCTGAAAGAGAGTAGGTGAGTTGTGTTTAGTCTCTTTGCTAAGGAAATCAGGCAAAGTTAAAAAGATGTTTGGTGGCTCGTGCTGTGGCTAGGACCCTATATGTCCTGTTGATGAAGTTAGGTGCTGTTCTGAGCATTATTTGTGGCTATAAAGTGGTGTTTTGTTTGAGGTTTGTTTATGGCTCCTCAGACTGCTGTGTATTGCTATCGTGCGGTCATTACTAAAGTTGGTATAACTAGAGAAGAAAGCGGTCGGCAACATTCATCTCTCGACGGGGTGTCTAACTCATTGCTACGGTGTGTTTGACCCTAACTTAATTTTACGCCGGAATATCCCTTTAAAATGCTTACTGTTGACCTTTAGTCCAGTCTTTATGCTCTTAAAATGTCTGGGAATTATCTGGAGCTTACTTTGATACTAAAATGGTTTGAATTTAGTTTGTTTCCTCTTACTGAAGACTTAAGAGACCTGTTGTCTCAATGGATGGAAAACTTGTTACAGCTCTGACTTTATTTCTGAAATTGTTGATCTATTTGCTCACGCAGTCTCTCACACAGAGAAGAATCCTTACCTCCAATCACATAACTTCATTACTTGGGGGAAATTCCTTCAGGCATTCATTCATTCATTCAATCCTTTATTAGTTTATTCTTTTTTAATTATTTATTAATTGGTATGTGACAGCTTCTTTAGTGTGTTGTTGTCTCTGTCTTAAAAAACACTTCTGGCATTAAACTAAATATGAATATATTTTTCATAAAACAGTAAAAATTTCAAGTAATTTGTCAGATAATTATAGGGTTTAAATGTTCGACTAACATCAAATTGTGTCTTTATAAACATAAAATGCTGTCTGAACTTTTTTGGAGTTGGGTTTTAACTTGGGTTGGAAACTTTCCCTCAGAGCGTGTTGTTATCAAATGTGTGCTCTGCTTATCTGATGAAACTGGATTTCCCACGGAGCCAGAGTCACAGTGGGAAATCTCTCCTGCCTGTTAAAGCTGCAGTAAGTTTGTCAGTTGTTCAAATAAAAGTGTAAAACACCATCAGGTTCAAGATTCGAGCGTTCACGAGAGCTGCTGCACGGTGTAAGGACTCATGAGACTGACTGCCTCTGAGCAGATTTCATCTCCAGTTTTAGCTCGGATACCAAACCTCCGTAAATAGTGTGAGATCACGTGAGAGGAGGCGTGGTGCCAGCAGGCTCGTATATGTTACAACCTCACCCACATTCTTGATTTTTTTTTTATGACAGTCCGCTGGAAACATGCTTTCTCTGACACGTGGCGTCAACGCTTTTACAACCTGTCAGCTGCTTCACATGTCAGCCTCTGTGTGAATGGTAGAGGAGCTCCAAAACGCTCATGAATCACAGATGGGAGTGGCAGAAACAGACGCAGCATCACGGTCAATCCTGAAACCTTAGAGGCTGATTATTGCCCTGGAAAATATCTAGATTTGTCACTCTTGAAGGGCATAAATTTCCCCCACTTATTCAGTTAGTCATTCATTCATAAATTGATGCTCGAACCAAAGAAAGGTTTTAAAGTTGGGACATTTTTTCCTGTAATTGTCCTTATTGTGTCTCTGTAATGACAGTATGGAGATGTCGAAAAAGCAATTCACTTTTATCTAGATAATACTGAACTGGAAGGATTTTGTCTTCTACAGCCACGTTTTCATACTAGTTTTTTGAGCAGGATCGCCAAGATTTTCGATTCACTACTGGTACAACCATAAGGTTCATTCTGTAAACGTCATTGCATGTGTCTTTGTTTATGGTCGTATTCAAAGCCTGTTTTTTTCCGCATCTTTACAGGCTGATTTTTCTACTAATGAACAAACAAGTGGCGTCCTCTGGCGTTGTTATTGAACTTTTTATTTTTCCCCTGACATCCCACTCAATCATGTGGCGACTCGACGCCTTCAGCATGTTTTACATTTACGCGTTCCAGGGTGAATTTCCCCCGGCACAGATGCACTCACAATGACACTGTGGGCTCAGGTGCGGTGACAGGAAGTGGAGGAGGATTTTCAGAGCTGAGAGCAAAGCTGTCCATTACAACGTCAGTGTCACTTCAGTGAAAGGTTGCTCTCTGCTTTACCGCTGAAGGCGACTCTAAACTGTCAGTGTTTGATGCAGTGAACATGGAGTCACTGAGCTGATCGATGTGTGTCAGCCACAAACCTGAGTGGGGCAGAGCTAATGCTGTTTGAGCCGACTTTGGTCTGAAAGCCACAGGACTCTCAATGCTTGTCTGGTGCTGAATTCGAGGAAATGACCACAAAGGAAGAGTGTTTAACTGTAAACTGCAAGCTTCATTAATATAACTTGAGTAGCCAGTTTCATAGGTGCACTTTGATCGAACTTATGCACGTAAATTCTCATCATACGTACTTAAATACAGCTTACATCTGCAAAGTTTGTCCTCAGTTTTCTCTCACTAAGCCTTGTGTAAGACCCGTGTGTGGATTTTTTTCAACTGTCTTATGTGAAACCGTTACATATCTCGTAACTGTTGCAGCATACTGATAGGTATTTTTGTGTGATTAAGCTTCCTGGTAATATCATTGGGGTTGAAAAGAAACTCAGTTGTTGGTTTCAACCCAAAAGTTGTTGTTTACAGTCTTTAACACTTAGAACTCTGCTGGATCGCCGGCAATCCCATTTTACACCATTAATATTGTTTACAGTTTCTCAGGAACTATACTGCGTATCTCTATGGGATGAAAAGTGTTCAAAAATGCTGCTAATGTCTTCCGGGTTTGACAAGCTGTTTTGATGACGTCTTTTTCTGTCAAACTTTCAACCAATTACATGGTCTCATATTCTTCTTCTATTGTTCCATTGATGGTAGTGTCCAATAAGAGGCAACCAAAGATCAACAAGAGACAAGAAAGTTCCCTGCTTGTCTGCAAAATGAGAAATAATGGTCCCCAATGCTTGGAAACAAGCAAAGAAGAGATTATGAGCAGTATGATGATCTCTGTCTCATCCCAGACAGGAACTGCTTCAAAGAGTGGCATAAACAACCGTAAATAGCAAAAAACGCCTGGAAGAATTAGTATAAATATGTAAATAGTTTCTGTTGTGTGTTTGTTCCAATCACAATATTTCTACTCCTGATAGTCAAGACTTGACAGAATGATGTGCAGGTGGGAAAAGGCTTGGTCACTTTAGATTTATGTGTTTTTTGATGGATCTGAATCTACCGTCACATTCATTTTACATAATTTTTGCTCCCATCACTACAGAAGCATCTCTACTAATAAGTCTGGTCCTGCTCGGGGTTTTCTGCCTGTTTTAAAGAAGCTCCTCTGTGTCTGTCTGATCATTCTGACATTAAAAGTGACTAATTGTAAAAGTGACACCTTATAACCGTAAAACATGAGATGAACATTTATAGAGAAATAAGTCAATCTTCCAACAAGAGATAAAAATGAATTCATAGGAAAGAAAACTCTCGACTCAGCCCACTCAGGGGTTTTTACTGCTTGATGTGGTGATGCAGATTGAATATGATGTTTTTCACATGGCTGAGTCACTCTTGAGTTTTTGACTCTGCTTGGGTTTTTTGCATTATAAGTCATCGTCACATAAGCTCTTAAAACAACAACAACAACAAAATTCTGAAAACTTATGAGAAATCCTGGTGTGAATGCAAACGGTCAAATTTTTCACTTCAGCCATGTGACGGGTGTTCTGCTGGTTAGAGAAATGTTACCGCAGAGAGAAGTGACAGCAGACGCTGTGAGTTTGCACTTTTTATTCACGTTTGAATGACCACAAGGGCAAGTGTAGAAAAAACTGTTATTTCAGATTTTAGGAGAAGTGTGTCTCAGTGGACCAATCTTGACATTAGTCTATTAAGAGAGTGTTTTTCTTGCTAATGTGTTTGTCGATTGTTTTGGCATGGGAAGTATGGTGCCTTCAAGTGGATACTGAAGTTTTGGAAGGAAGAGCTCCTGAAATTTTCCCAACATTTTCCAGTGTGTGCAAAATCAGCTGTATACTACACTCTAAAAACTCTTGGGTTATTTCTTCAACCCAATTACTGGGTACTACATGTTGAATTAAATTAAATTTCTGGGTTATTTTTCAGATCCATACCCATTTCATGGGTCATATGGATTCTATTGTAACCCAATTTGAGGGTTTTTTGAATGGGTTAATAATTATGGGTTATTTTTCTGAGAGTAGCCCAATAATTGGGTCAGAACGTTGGGTTCGATTGACTCTATGTGGTTTCTTGGGCTGTGTCCAAAATGAATCACTCAATCTCTAACCTCCATAAGGGGTTTCAGTATATAGTTGACTATGTAGTGAACTCAATCACCCGAGGTTTCAGACACGACATGGCAAGGCGCAATGCATGACGGGATGCCCACCACCGGTGATTGACCATCGGATGGTCACTACATTTTGCAATGCTCTGTGGGAAATTTTGGGTCGCCTATATAGGGCACTGGAATTGATCACTCAGGTTTCGGACACCTCTCAAAATGGCGCTAACCCCCATATAGTCACCTATATAGGGGTTGGGGATCCATTTCGGACACAGCCTAAGCCTAATGGCAATTAAAGTGACCTGGTGACATTGTGAACTTTGACCTTGATTTTAAATAATATATATATCTTTTGGCTGGGGGTTCAAATCCTGCATGCGACACATCTGTACAGAGCAAACTGCATCCACCAGTGTGGGTCCCTAGCCAAGGCCCATAGCGCCATGGCTTACAATCACTTCGATAAAAATACACGGGATAATAGGGTACAGGTTGTAAAAGCAAAGCTCCCAAAAAAAAAGCTCTCCAAATGCATATATAAATTTAACCCAAGATCATGAGTCGAATTAACTCGAAGATTGCGTTGACCCTTAAAAAAGGGTTATTGAGTCAACCCAAAATTTGGGTTTATTTGAATAACCCAACATTCGGGGTCAAAATAACCCAAGAAGTAGTCGGCCCCTTTTCAACCTGGGGGTTTTTAGAGTGTACTATTTCTTCATCAGTTTTAGGTTTACCAAGTTCAGTTTTGAAGCCAAGGAGTTAAAGTTTATCATTTCCAGTCAGAAAACATACAAAAGACAACAATCATTCTCTATTCCAACTCTTACTCTAACTGTCAGCTTCACCAGATGTTTGACACTTGACTTGATCAGATAAACTACTTATTATGTGAATTTGTCTTTACTCAAAATGTGATTAAAGATGAGTGTTTATTGTCCTTTCTGCCAGTTATCTGGGTTTCACAGTAACTGTACCACTCATAGTGAGAAGGAGCGGCTGATTTTCAGAGATGAAAGTTTGGTCTTGATAACTTGCATTATGACACCAAAGTTAGCCCACACTCACTCATATCAGTACTTAAACATGCTCTATTTGTTTTCTCTGTTTTGCAGGTCGGTGGTGTTGCAGACCCCCTGTGCAGATGCAGGCGTCGCATTGCCGCGAACTGAAGAGGCAGAGCTGAATGGAGAAGATGCGAAGGCGGAAGCGGGCAGAGTTAATTCAGTTTCACAGTCTTAATGAATCGCACACACTTTTACACACAAAAACAGAGAGTACATGGTTTTAATACTATCCACTTCCCTCTTTCTGTGAGAGGACACACACAGGCACCCTGAATGGGCCCCTGTGGTGATCAGCTCTGTGGTCGGGAAGTACCTAGTGTTACAACTGTCACGCTGCTCTGCTTAAAGGGACAGAGTGGAGCGTTTTCACATGCAGTGTCCTTTCTGAATCAAACTGTACATCTAAGATCTGCTGAAGGGTTTAAAAAGTCTGAGAGCATGAGTCAAGTAACTCGAAGTTAAGACATGTTTTGAATTTAATTCTATTTCTATCTATTGTTTATATATGTGATTTGAAGGGTTAAAGGGTTAAGAGTAAAAAATTGCACCAAAAAGTGACATTAATTTCGGTTTATCAGAGTAATAAGAGCATGCACACATCACTCAGATCTCATCCTTAAATAGACTCTGCGTACTTGTTTTCTTCTGGTCTTTAAGTTGCCCCCGTAGAAGTTTCTGTTGTTGAAGTGAGGAAAGTCCAAGATAGACATGACTCACTCCTCATTTTTGGTCTTTATGTAGATATCACAAGGTTTTGAGGCGGGTTTGAGGTCATCACCCTGCAACAGAATGAAACCTCCCTTACGAAGATGCACACCGTTAGGCTAGATGCAGTGTTTTGTCCCAGAGGGGGATTTACCCTGAGAAAAAGTGCAAAAGTACAAAGGTTTGTGCAACTTTGCAACTTAAGATAGCTACCACACAACAATCAAGAAGAGATACAACATTAGAAATAACATGTTCCTTCAAAAGGAAAAATGATGGGAAACTCCAGAAAACAGCACAAAAAAGTGAATGCTAAAAAGAGATTAGACTAATACATACATTTAGATTTGGACTTTTTTGGGGTAAAGATCTGTTTCTCATTGATTCCACGACTTGAGTGACTTCTATATGTACAACTTCTACAAACCTGTTACTGACATCAATCCCAAACTTGAATAAAACCCTAAATTCCGCCTTTTTTCACAGACATCCTCTCCGACTTTCTTAAGTATTTAAGTAACCTCAAAGTGTTTCGTCATATTGCTGTTTGTCAGACAGGATTTAGAAATGTCTGCTGTCTTCTCAGATCTGTGGTGGCCCTTAAGGTCCATGGCACGAATGTTTCAGAAAGATAAATCATAAAACATTTCATGAAATTCAAAAACATTGTGAAACATAAAATATTCTGTAAACAGGAAGTGTGTTCTAACTACTTCTACAAAAGGAGTGCAAAATATTTTAGAAACATCAAATATATTTTTTCAAAATTCCAATGTATTTTTTTTTTTTGTAAAAGTTTGTGTTTCTGAAGAATTTTTAAAAAATTCAAAATTTATTTTTGTGTTTTCAAAATAAATCCTCTCTGACTTCCTTAAATATGTGAGTAACCTCAAAGTGTTTCGCCATATTCCTGTTAATCAGACAGGATTTAGAAATGTCTGCTGTCCTCTTAGAGCTATGGTGGCCCTGAAGGTCCATGGCACAGATGTTTCAGAAAGGCAGTGAAAAGATAAAGCATAAAACACAAAAACATTTCAGCAAATTCAAAATCATCACGAAACATAAAATATTCTGTAACCAAAAAGTGTGCTTTAAAAACTACTCCTGAAAAAGGATTGCAAAGTATTTCAGAAACATCAACATCAAATATATTTTTTTAAAATTCCAATGTATTCTTGTTTTGAAAGTTTGTGTTTTCAAAGTATTTTTAAAAAGTGTCAAAATTAGTTTTTGTGTTTTCAAATTAATTTTGGGTTTCAGAAATATCATTATGATGTATAATTTTATTTTCATTTCAAAACTGTTTTATGTTTTAACATTTTTTTTCAGAAATATTTTTTTCCAACATATATTTTGTATAAATGTCAGATATTTTTGTATTTTGAAGAATGCTTTAGGGTGTTATGCCTCTCTTTGTCTTATATTTATTTACCTGTTTCTGTGTTTGATTAAATATTTATCTTTTATGTCATAATGTGCCGTTGCTCTTCAGGGCCACCGTACATGACGAGTGCTTGACAGCCTTGTCTTGCAGTACTTTTGGATGACATGGTCACTTTTGGTCTGCCTGGATAGACTTCATACGTGTTTGACTGCATTTCAGCAAAACGTTGAAGATCTTTCTCTTGCGTCGCTGCTTTTTACTAAAGACTTAAAAAGCATAAATAAAATGTTAGTTCCAGTTAGTTACATATTTCTTTGAAGCCAGTTTTATAAGCTTTGAAAAATGGTGAAAACTTATCAAATTTGCACATTTTGACAAAACTCTAACCTCTATCATGAGACTTTATGTGTATGGTGCTGTGGGAAAGTATGATCTGGTGTAAATGTGTCTTCACAGGAAATAAGAAAAAGCATCTCTAATCTCACTTGAGTTTATACTTTCATTTTCTGTCTGCAGGGGTGAATTTCCTTGCACTGTACACTGTTGAGTGTTTCTGTAAAACTGCCCACTCTCTCTAAATAAATTGTTCATACTGGGAAATCTTCACTAGAGACGAGTGATTTTTTTTTCTTGAGGGTAACACCAGCAGGTGAAGCGCGCACACACACACATATATTAGAGTAAAGCTGGTGCTGGTTTTCTGCACCAATGCCTCCTGTTTACAGCTGCAGGGAGAGAAAGTGTTTAATCTGTAGCTGAGCTCCTCACACCTCTCACAGGGGTCACCTAAGAACACAAGACTCTGTGTGAATGTGTGTGAGTGTTTGGGGAAAAAGTCCTGCCATCATCTCAGAAGCATTTCCCAAACAATTACCTGTTATTCTACCTCGAAAATCTTGCACCGCGGCTGTTATCACATTTTCACTGTTGTGGTAATCATTTTTAAGGTTTTAACCACCAGAGTAGCAGGTTCTTAGAAAGGAGCTCGGCTGTTAAATATCTGATGAGGTTGAAAACTGAATAAGTTCTATCTAAAAAAATGATGCAAATTAATGTTTTATGGTTTATTTTTTTATACACATGACATAAAGGTACTTCAAACCAGCTGTTTCCAGGCTTTGGCTTCGGTATTAATCGGACAGTTATGAGGGTCATATTGATAAATATTCAAGCAGCGACAGTGTCTTGCTCAAGGGCAGCTGGGTAATCATTTGACTGTCTGGGGCTTCCAGTAAGGTCTCCAGGTGTTCAGGTTTATGTCTTGGACTTCACATTCCTCTCACTCTCTGTCAGCTGAAGGATGAGTCAAACTCACTGGACTGTTTTTTTTCCTCCCACGCCGCTTTTTACCACGTTTAAGAAAATCCATCCCTCATACCTACCTCCGTCAGACCTCTCACCTTTGCCTCAAATCTCTGAGAGCTGGTCTGGTTGTTCAAACACAAACTGATCACAAAGTGAAACTGTACAAAGTGCCGCTCTTTGATTTCACTCCTCGGCTCTCTTTCATGTGAAGCTGCGTTAGGAAAGACAGAGGTTAAACAAACAGGAACTTCATTAAAATAAACCCTCTTGTCAACTCCCACTCCCTGATTCAGAGTTTCAGGAATGCTGCTGTGCTTCACATCCCACAGTGGATCGCCGCGGTCCTTCAGGTAATGAATGAAGCTGGGATACCCACCTAGCAACCAGGAAACACTGAAAATCTGCAGCATTCACTCCCCCGGAGATCGGTGAAGGATGACTGAGTTTCCCACCATGATCCTCCTCACTGAAGCGGACAGTTCACCACACACACACACACACAGGGCACTCTTCATTCATCTGAGTAAAATGGTGAACATTGCAGGGACTTTTTTATTATCACAAAAGTAGCTGGTTTCAGGATCAGACTTCAGTGGAAACAGAACAACTCATACTATTTTTGTGACATCTAGTTTTGTGTGAATTCATAAAGTGATAAAGTCAGAAACAACAAAGAGCGATGAAAGTAGAGATGAGGAACTACACAAAAATATAAAATCTTAAAAGAATGCGCTGAAGACTAATTGAAATGCTTAAAAAATGCAGACAAAAGAACCGACGACTTTTATGTTAAAGCTCCTTTGTTGATTTTGGCGCCCCCTTTGCTGATTTCATTTAGCAATTACTTAGAAATAGCTTCAGTCTTTGCAGACAAGTAATTGAACAAGATTGTTTCTGCAGCTGTCAATCACTTTGCCTCACACTTAAGGTCCTTACAGACCGGGAACGACACAAATATACGATGCAAAATTACAAAATATTCGGAGGCGAATTTTGATGCGCCTGACTATACACATCAAACCTGATGCGATTTTGTGACTTTCCGGGGGGAAAATAAGACGCATCCCAGGTGGAAGTGAGAAGACTGCCACAACAGCAGACTGACTGTTTTTCAGTTCTGATTAGACACTAGTGTCGAGATGACTGTCTGTCATGATAGCATGTACTGAGTCGGAGCCAGTACCAGATAAGCGTATTAAACTCTAAGGTAACAACCGAGACCTAATGGTGCTGTGACAGAAACGTGATTGAGTTTGAGACAGTGAAAATACATATGGTATGTTGTATGTGGACAGGTTAGCTTACGAGCTAAAGTTACTTAGCACAGATGAAAGTTAAAACAAAGACGTTTAGCAAACTGTTAAAGCACACAAACCATCGTCATATGAGAAATCCGACGCTATGACTCTCCACAAGTTGTCCTTCAGGTCATTATCTTTGTAATGTTTTTGTTTTTTTATCAAAAAGCACTCTGTTCTCCGACACGTAAACAATCAGCCTGTCAGCCATGTTGGATATACCGGTGAATCTGACGTTGCAACAACACGAAATCTGATTGGTCAGATCATTGGTTGTTAATCTTGCTTTTTTAGCTCATATAAAGGCATTGGTATCAATTTCTGTTTTTTTTTTAAAAATGACCTGACAGGAGATTTAAGTTTGTAAGTACACAGATTAACTGAATTTGCGTTTGGAAATAATCAAATAAAGACATAAGAAAGTCGATTCTTTTTGTCAGGTAACAATGTGAAGTTTATTTGGAGTGATCTCATGAGGTTTCAATGTGCCGCGGTTCTTTACAGGCCAGTAAACCCGTTTAAATGTCAGTTTAACTGAGTTGGACGTGTCACTCTGTGGTTTTACACAGCAGGTAGACAGTAAGGGGAAAGACAGAGACAGTGCAGGTGGGAGCGTTGAGTAACATCAGGTATCATATTCATCATTTAAACAGTAAAGTGAGACTTACTGGTGAAACTCATTTTTAGTTTTAAGCCCATGGGAATAATCAAAGACTTCATGGTGACTACAAACTGTAACTGTGAATAAAATAAAAGACAGACTGATTAACAACATTAATTTTGTTGCTCTGCTTCCTAACATGTATTTTTACCCTCATCATCATCATCATTATTCAGGTCTTTCAAGCTCAGGAGAAAGTCTCCACACTGTGACCTGGTCCTCCGTGGTCCAGCCTCAGTTCACGCCCTCAGCTTTTGATGTGTCTGCTCTGTTTGTTCACCAGCGCCAGCGGTCTGCTCGCTCCCATTCAACAATCTGACACTCTCTAAATCCCTCACTCTCCAGGCAGCAGCGGTATTGTTTTGCGGGTTTTTTACACCAGGAGGTGAGAAACATGCGGTCTCGTTCACACCCCTCTTGCCTCTGACCCTGCTGCAGAGTTTGTTTTACAGAGATCAGGTGTGACTTCTCACCTGCATCTAAATCCAGCATCCTGATTGGCTTTTAGTCACACGGAGGGAAGCATCTGCTCCTCTGTCCAGCTGGGAAAATGTATAACTATTCTGACTTATTCTATATCTAAGTTACAATATGGGAATCTAGTTGATATTGGTCTATTTTTTCCCGCCGTGATAAAAAGTCTGAGAAAGTCGTGAATTACTAATCGTCAAACGCCTGCAGAGTTTTTGGTTCCTGTTTGATTTGCATTTTCTTCCCTTAGATGAGAAGTAGCTCACTGACAAGAGTGTGGACAGTAATGCAAATTTTTCAAAAGTAAAACTAGAATTACACAAGAGGTACCTGAAACCATGATTCACTTGCAGTTGGTGCGTACGCCCAGTTTTGACATTCATCAGAAAACAAGCCTTTAACAGTCCCAGCCACAACTATGCAATCCTCTTCCTGGGACCTGAGGGGGAAAATAAACGTTTCTTTCTTCTTCTTTGGAAGAGTCTAAACCAGAGCTTTATGACAAAATCTTGGTGAATCATCAGTCACAGGAACTATTTAAGATAAGCAGAGTTTGGTTACTCATCTGCAGACGTTAAGGCTACAACCTAAAGCAAGTACATTAAGTCAATATTTACATTTTCTTTTTATCACGCTGAGCTGCTGAATCATTTATACAGCGTATTAAAATTCACTGTAAGGAGTAGTGAACCCTCGCTGCAGCGGTTTTACAACTCATTGACTAGCAGCTGAAACTGAAGAGAGGAAACCATCAGAGTATCACGTTAAGTTCCTCCTGTCTTCACAACTCACACCAGCACCATAAAAGGAAGGAGCTTCATTCACAAATTTGCACTCTGTGAACCCGTGACAGCAGCCAGTGGCACCTCAGATAGCGGACTGCATGACCTGAGGCTTGTACAACATTTGCATGACAGGAGATAAAACAGGGTAATATTTCACCTTTATGGAAAAAAATGCAAAAACTCTGCATGCATATGCAAAATATTTCCCTGAACACTTGATTCTTATCAGTTTTTGCCAAAGTGCATGTAAATATCCCATAGTTTTCCACAGTTAAAACTTTAGATTTATTGCAGGTAGCAGTATTTTTAGACGTAGCAGTGTCTTTTATTACAAGTGGCTCCAAAGATCAGATTTCAGAGGATAAAATAAACTCATTTAATGCTATTAAAGTTGGTGACATAGTTCCCTGTGACTCTATAGCCCAGTATTTTTACTACTAAAGGTCAGTGAGGGTGTATGAGATAAAAATAGAAGAGGCACATTAAGCATTAGTATGTCTTCATCAGCAAATCTTCAATTAAAATAGCCGCTCAGACCCCCACTCATTTAATCTCTTTATCTGCTGGATCTGGTCCTTGTCACTGTCGTGCACGTGCGCATGCAGCTTTATGTTTTTTTTATGTGACTGCATTTTTCTTATCCTCTCATCCAGTAATATTATACAGCCGCCCTCACTGCAGATGATCTCTTTTTTCCATTTCGCTCTGATCTTAGATAGATGTAAGATATTTCCCACAACCTCCCTGAAGCTGAGAGTGCCTAGATTAAAAAAGTGCTGCAGGTGAGCAGCTTACCCGCCGTTCCCAGGCTCTGTGTTAAAAAATAGTCAGACAGCTGTGGGAGGTCTCAGAGTGCCTGTAACTTGGCAGGAGAGCGTTCAAAAGTATGCCCTCTCCTAAGTCAAACACCAGCGCAGGCTGCTACTTGCTCCTGTCCAACTGATCTTCCCGCCCACACATGGGAAAGCACTTTCCAGGAATCACGCTCCAGAGATCTCCGTGCCCTGCGAAGGGACTTTTATTACATTTAAACCTATCACTTTGTTTGGGTTGAAAAGATTCCTTAAACTAACATTTTGTACTGTAAAAGGCTATAAAGTTTCACTGTAAATTCAAACAGCGCTCTTTAATCAGAGGTTTGGCCCTGAGCTGCAAATAATGATGATACGACTGAAAGTGAATTTAGTGCAGCTAGCTCACCCTATACTGCTGAACAAGCCGCAGTATACAAAGCTGTCACACATTGTATAGACTTAAACCGCTCTGCGTTTCCAAAGCACTACATCAAAAGGCTGTCTCATTCCTGCTGGTGAAATACAGGCTCTGTCACGCTTGTGGCTGCTGAGCTTTTCACTTGTGGAGCATTTTAATGTGGACGTATGACGGAGCTGTGATTGGAATTTATCCAGAGGGGTGTCAGTCAATCAGTCTGCGCTAAATGTACAGGACGATTCTATTAGCTAGGAAATAAATGAGGACACTCTGTGTGACTCCAGACATTTCTCTCAATAATTTTATTCATCAGACCAGACTTTGTTTGGAATATTTAGAGAAAAAAAGTGTTATTAAAAGTACACGCAAAATCTCCATAGGTCCTGTAAACTAGCTGGTAGAAATAAATAGGAGTTTGCAAAGGTTTTTTGTAGGGTTGCACCAATCCAATATTGAGATCGGATATCGGCTCCGCTATATTGTCAAATTAACTGGATCGGATATCTGAAGAATGACGCCGTTCCAGCATTCCGATCCAGTCTTTTTTTCCTTTCAATCAATACCATACACAGCAACACAGTGATTCTGTTCGCTCTATATTCTATGTCTGTCTATCCTTTTGCACTAAATGTTTACATGGAAGTCTTACTTCTTTTTGCTGCGTGCTAATGTGCAATTTGTTCATAAATAATATTAAGTAAATAATTATCTGTGTTCATTACCTTTTTTAACAAGCTAATGTCAAGCCTGATGCCTTCACTCACAGTTCATTCATTCAACAGTCGTATTTGATCGGATATTGGCCGATACGCTCAGCCCAGGTATCGGACTGGATCGGGAAAAAAATGAATTGGTGCATCTCTAGTTTTTTGCTGTTATGTCATGGTTAATTATTTTATGTACTGTACCTATGAATCAGTGTATTACCTCTTTACTCTGTCACCTGCAAACAGCTTACTTGAATGTAGAGAAATACAACGAATTCTCTGCAACAGTTTCTAAGAGCCACAAAAGACGGTGACAGCGCTCATGGGACATGCAGTCTGACCACCAGAATCAACACAGCATGAAAGTTCCCTATAGTGCCTTTAGTTGCTTTAAAACCCGGAGACTCATAAATGATTTCTGTTTTCACACACACACACACACACACATATATATATATATATATATATATATATATATATATATATATAAAAATTTTGACTGGACACCTTTAAAGCCCGCTGCTCTCATTTCTCAGTCACTTCACACTCTCACACTCTCACACTATGAAGAAACATAAAGCTCTACTGTTGTCTGTGGAAAATGTACAGGCAAATAAGTATTGAAATTTTGCTTAATCTATTGTGTAGAGCACCTTCACTCTGAGTCATGTTTAGGGGAAGTTGGCACCCTTTTTTTTATGCATATGCATCAAGACGAGTTGTGAAAAGTAGTACTGCTTGTGTCAAAGTGCCATTTAGAAATCGTACTCTCTGCTTTGGGGCCTCCCCTTTTTCAGACAGCCTCTCACTTCTGCTAAGCAAAGTGAGCATCCACTCACTACAACGCTCTATTAACCTCAATGAGCGTGTGCACTCTACTGCAGAGGGAAGACTAAAATACCGCAGATGACTCAAGACTCTTCTTTAAAGCTGTGCTCCAGCTCACATACCAGAAAAGTGCTCTCAAATGTCACTTTTTATCTTCTGCAGAGCCTCAAAATATTTGAATATGAAGGATCTGTTTTTGTAATAATTAACATCAGAGGCAGATGCAGCTGATCCAAGAGGATGCATACGAGTGCCCTTTACTCATCTTCAGCTCTTTCCACATGAACAGCGGGGAGTCGACGAGTGAATTACCTTAGCGTTTACACAGATGCTGACATTTAGACGGGGCCATGAGAAAGGGGAGAGACACAGCGATCGGGTTGCAGGCGGAGAATCATTTTGAGCGACTCAGATTCTCCGTGTTTACGGTGCGAGAGTGTTGTTAAGAGCTTAGATAACGGATGGCACAGCTCGCTTGTCTGTTTACCTGCTGGGTTTGTGTTAGCGGGTGTCAGTGTTGCTCTCTGCCCCCCCTCCTGGGTCTCTCCCTGGGAACTTGAGGAGTGTGAATGTTGGTTGAGCAAACTCACATCACTCAGAGCTGCCTACTGACACAGCTGATGGAGATAAAAATGAAGAGGCATCATAATCCCAATCATTCTTGACACAAATTTGCACTCAGATACGATCTGCCATTCATCTGAGTGGCTAAGGACGCTACAAACTTACACTTTAACATCCAAATTGCACAACCGTAAAGGAAATTGCACCACAACCCTTCTTTAAAGGAAGTCAAAGTGTGTATTCTCATTTTTTAATGTGGTGAGACACTTTTCTTTAACTTTTAGATTAAGTGTAGTTTGAATGGGAGCCATGTTGTGCGTGTGTTTTGACTTAGCCACAGCCCTCGCATGTTTATCACCCCACTAACACTTCTAGGAACGGAGGTTGTCACGTCTTCGCAGAATGTAGAGCATGTTCTTTGTTGCTAAAATAAAACTGCAGTTTCCTCTTTGCTTAAAATGCACCTTCACTTTTCGTAGACTTACTGCAGCTTTGATACCTCCTATGCAAGCTTATTAGAAGGCTAATTTAATGACCCAGAGGTTAACACGCAGGATTAATCTTCATAAATAGAAAGGTGCATGAAATATGCATTAAGAAAACACACAGACCAATTTGTCGGAGAGTAACTGAGGGGATTTTTTTCATGAAGTCCCCTGTGGCCGCAGCACTCCAGAGGGTGTCAGCAGTTTGGGGTATAATTTGGAGAAAGTTGCAGAAGGAGAAAACCCCCTCTGCTCTCCTTTTTTTTTTTTTCACCTTCTGTCCTCTCCTGCAGTTCATGCATGGGTTATCAGAATTGCAAATATAGCAGACCAGCTCCTAAATCAGAATTATTAATGACTGAGCCTTTTGAAGTTCACGCTGGGAGGATTCATTTCACAGATGAGCAGGAAGGAACTTCACTTGGAGGACAAATCTCCCA